GTTTTACCAGTTTTAGTTTTTTACTTGCTTTTCTTTTTTCACACGTTTGTCATGCTTGCCATGTATGAGTTACAAACCGCACCTCTCCATAACAAAGGCTCACCCTCTTAAGCCTCACCTTACCATATTAATAAAAAGTGTGCCGTACTTGGCCCTTCCCCCCTCTCCAACCATTATATATACGGAGTGGTAGCTCTTGCAATCTCTCATTTACTTGATACAGCTGTCGTGGCTGTGACGGTTCCACCTGAAGATGGAGGCTTGTGTTGCCTCCGAAACGTGAATATTTTTTAATTTGTTTTATTTTACTTTTATTAATTTAAAAAAAAATTACCTACGTGACTTTACCGAAAGAACCTAAGAGTACCAATCCCTGGTCTCGCCATTTGCACCACGCGCAGTGGCGTAGTGACTACATTATAGCTCAGGGGGTGCGACAATCGGTCAGGTGAAGCCCCAATATTTGATTTCTCTCGCACGGTCGCACCTAGGCTGTTATATATCGCGGCTTCTCTTGCCTAATCACACCATTACACTAACGGTCTCGAATCACTGAACATATCTCATGGTCATAATAAAGGTTTTAGGGTTAGATCACGTTATTTATAAATGTGTCGCAACCCTCCACCACCCGACACGGCCAATCAGTAAAAAATGTGTCACGTTGACAAAAGACAAATAGTTCACTACTTCAGCCCACCGGTCTGTTGAAGAGTGAATCCACAATATTTACAATTTTTTTTGTACGATGTTTCGCGTAATTACATCCAGCATCATCGGGCAATTTGTCAGAATCGTGAAGCCCTCCACCTGCTCCCGGTCTTAAATAGAGCAGCAGGGTGACGCCATAATCGAACCCAATCAGATGCAGAGATCGGAGGCGGAGAGGGGGGGTATTCTAATCATATAATAGATTAGTAATCAGTTCATTGCTATGATTAGTAATCAGTTGTAGATTAGTAATTAGTTGTAATGTGTATTATTTAATAACTGAACACAATCACTATACCCAATCATGTGCAGAAATCAGAGGTGGCGGAGGGGGGGAGGTTATTGTAATTATATACTACGTTAGTAATCAGTTAATTAGTATGTGTTTCCCCTATAAGGAATTGTAATATCTATTATTTAATAAAACACTTCAAGGCCGCACTAAGCCTGTAGCTGTCAGAGCGATTAAAGTTATTTGTATTTCTCAAAATTTCAATGGATTCTCTAATTAGTCTTGGCCAGTAATAATTAGTTTTACACAACACTTCAATTGAGTGGCCTTGTTGGCAAGCATGTTCTGCCACTGCCGACAGTTGTGTTTGAGATAATTAAATATTTCTTCGGTGTTCTTTTAGTCTTACGCTGATGTTACGTCCCGTCTGACCAATATAGCATCTGTCACATAAGCAATTAATCCGATATACACCTTCTGTTGATAATTTAGGTAATTCGTCTTTAGTACAATATACTAGTTTTCGAATTTTGTGTACTGTACCAAATCTTACTTGAATGTTTTTCTTTTGCAAAACACGGGCTAATTTGTCAGTTACTCCTGAGATATATGGTATTTTTAAATTGTTTTAATAATCTGATCACTTTCAGCAGTGTTGCTTTGCAATCGTGATTTGGCATTCAGTGCTCTGTTAATTTGAGCATTATTATAGCCATTCTGTCGTAGTGCTTCTTTAACATGTTTAATTTCTCTCACTAGACGTTCTCCATCTGACACTGTTTTATCCCGATGTATGAGCGTCTTGATAAGAAAGGATTTCTGAGCTGGGGAATAATGTGAATCTGCATTCAGATAGGCATCAGTGTGCATTCCCTTTCGGTAAACGCTGTGTTATTTTGCAATTTAGGCCATGCCCAAGCAAAATATCTAGGAAAGGGAGTGTGTTATTCACCTCCGTTTCCATGGTGAACTGGATCGCAACACAAGCGATCGTCCTCAGGTAAGGACTATTGCTTGTGTTTCGATCGAAACGTCGTGATTTTTTTCTTATTTCTCTATCTACATGACTTTACCGAAATATCCAAAGAGTATATTTCATGGTGGTTGTCAAGGAGGCCCCAACTCGTAGCTTTGGCCACCAGGGGGGGTCAGGTACCCCCTGCCCCCACGCTCGTTACGCTACTGACCACGTGACTTGCAATAGAAAAACCGAGGCGATTCCACGTGCGACTCACTTTCGGCAAGCTCGCACCGATAACACGCATATCCTTCCTGAACCGCACTGGAACCGTGTCACTCCCGCCATGCCAATAGTAATTTAAAATGACGAATCCATCATAACTAAGGAAGGAGACGCAATTAGGAGACCTGGCCTCAATGTGTCACCAAGGCTACCCGACACTCAGACTCAAGTAGATTCCGAAATCTCATTGGAAACCATTGAATGCAGATGCTGCGGCGAAATGTGTTCACCACCATGTGAGAAGAATTGTGCATAGATTTACGAGTGAATTTTTACTCTGTATACATTCTGGAGTACCAACCATTAATATCAAGGGTGCACCAGAAATAACAAATTACTATACATGTGTATACAACAACTGATTAGACTTCAAGTCTGTGAGTTTTGCATCCATAAAATATAAAGTTGCATTAGGATGCAATACTTTTTGAAATAGCAGTTTTACAAAGTACATTGGTAAGTGGTATTTTTTTATTATTATTAGCAAATAATTTAGTTTTACGGTTAATATATCACAATAATTTAATTATTAAGTTAAAGTTTAATCAAAAATAAGTACTACACTCTTGGCGGGGTACGTCATTATCGGACTGTAGTAGTGGGGAGCGGTAGCGCACTGCGAGACGAACCCGGCGACTCAAGTTCAATTCCCGCTCACGGCTAGCACCAGTGACAATTTAAACCGATCCTGGGTCTCCCCTAGGTCGACTCAGCCTCAAATTAGTACCTGGTGCAGTGTGTAAAAATCACTACTCGGCAGACATAAGGCGGGAGAGCGTGGTGTTGGCTACCCACCCCTTTGTGTGCCATTCCAGCCTTCATATATGCTCGCTAACAGCACGTGCTCCTTCAGTCTAAGGCTATACGGGGGATCTTTGGTCTTCGTCGAGGTTTCTTCCATGCACAAACCAATTCACCTCCACAGCTTCTGATTGGCTATGGGGTTTCGTGCAGAATGGGAGCGCCACAAATTCTGCCCAGCAAATCCAACAAAATACTTGGCTCATGAATTTGGAGCCAATAACTTTTGGGGCATGAAAGCCCACTAATTGAGCCCTCACCGCCACTACGCTACGTCGAGTGGAGTGCGGTACTGTCATTGAGAATGGCCACGCCTGTGGGGAGACGGTGTCATGCCAAGAGATGTCATCATCACAAGTTTGTGCGACAGTGATAGTGTGACGTCCCCCTCATAGGGCATCCTGGCGGAAGCAGTGATTCCAAGCCATTCCCCCGCCAGAGCCGGGGCTCAGGAGAGTGAAGTCAGAGCAGGAGGGGGGTGGGAATGTGGAGACCTCCAGGCCCAGCTACGTAACTGTGGTGCCACGGCCGCGGAGCAACTCCGCAAGCGCCACGACTCCCCCTTGGCCCCTACACTGAGCACACACACAGCGCATACACGTAGTGTCCTGGTGGGGGATTGCCTGGCACATCGGGGTTTAATCCGAAAACAGATCACATTCCGGTGCCCCTGAGATGGCTTAACATTGTATGGGCATAAGAAAGTTCACTGGGCCAGCCACAGAGTCATTTACGACATTGGCAGAGGCTGAGGGTGGAATATTAGGCAAGGGCTGATCAGGGGGTCAGAATTAAAGAGCACAGGAGAACAATGGGTGGGGGGAGCAGCAGCACTCCCCCATGGCACAGGGTACAAGTGAGCAACGGTGCAGGTGAGCGCACGATTGACTTCAAGCTTTCGTGACTGCAAGAATTCATATTCTTGGGTCTTTCGGTAAAGTCACGTAGATAGGTTCAAAGAAAATAACAAAAAACTCCGACGTTTCAATCGCAACTGATCAAAACCCGAAGAATAAGCGCACGATTGGCTGCGCGGTGCGACCACCCTGGGCCTTTGAAGTTTAGGGAATAAAACGAGTAGCCCGGGATGATTTTGGGTCTTATCTTCAACCTCTGGGCCGTCAAGACCCACTCCGTGCCGTCCTGCCTCCTCGAGCCGCTCGCAGCATCCGTGTGATGCAAGCGACTGCTGCTACGAGGCAGTGATAGGCAAAGTTTTCTCTCGTCCTTCTCCCTCCGACTCTCACAGCGTCCGTGCGACGCCATGAGCACGGCTTCGAGGTACGTGGCAGGACGTGTGAGCAACTGGGTATGTAGGCTGCGCTAGGTTAGGCTCTTCTCGCAAAATATTCCCCCAGTGAATAAAACGCTAGTACAGAACATCGGCGTGGTGTCTGCGATTTGCGTGTGGTGCGAATGTGTGGGGAGACGGTGTGCGCGGGAGAAGAGCAAGCGTAGAGTTGCAGCGTGCGCGGGCGTGCTGAGAGATCGCTGCAGGCGTGGGTGCGGTCGTGCGGCTGTGGGCCGCGTTAGTGGTGGTGTACACGGGCGAGTGTGTGGGTTAACTCCATGCGGCGGTGAGCCAGCAGTTTAGCCATGTCGCTCAGAGAGGGCGCTCGCGGAGGGGGGGAGATCGACGCGGTGGAGGAGGGAGTGCCCCACCTGCCCAGCGAGGGCGGTGGGGTGTATGGCGGCCCCCACATAACGAATCTGTAGCGTGACACGGCATTGTCTAATGTTTACAACACAGTGTCGCTTGTTGTTCGAGAGTTAGAGCCGTTGGTCAAGGTTCATTCAGCACGCTATACACATTACATAAACCCATTTATATATTTTTTAAAGGTTATCTGAAACATGTTTTAACTGCACAAAGTTTCATCAAAATTAGTAGCATCTTCACGACTCATGTCCACGACGACCTCTGAATGGAAATGGCACATTGCTGTGATTTAAACAAAACGTATTTGGACACTGGCAAGCAGGTATTTGAAAAATGTTACACAGTTATGAAAATCGCCGTGTAATACTTTAATTGCACAACTTATCACACGTTGACCAGCATACAACCAGAGCCGCCTTAAGCTTCAGCAGGGATGGAACGTACAAAAGGAACGTGGGGGGGCGCCATCATACCCGAGCAAACGTCAAAACCGAGTAACTGAAAATGCAGGAGCCGAGCATCAAGCAAGGCCCGATAGACTAGAACCACCACTTCCAGTCAAAGTTGTATCTCAATGTAAGAGACTACTGTGGGTGGTGCATTTTTGATCTGTGAGTAAACCTCTGAACATTTTGAAGTGTGATTCCCATTCCAATGCCAAGCCTATCATACCACCTCAAATTAAGACCGCAATTGAGTATGTAAAAAAAGCAATGGCAAAGCCTTCAGTTAATTACAGCTCTGGTGTTATCTGCAAAGGCCAGGTTGCTTGAAACATAATTTCACGAGTCGACTTTACACGGTGACATTGTTGACAAGCACCACTTCCGGTGTAATGACAAGCACTGCAGTGGGGTCGCCGTGCCAGGTCACAACACTGCACACGGCATGCGACACACGAATCGTGCAAAAAGTGCCTCGTTAAAACCAATGGTCTCGAAAAGTACCAAAATAGTCAACAAGTCACCCAATACGGCAGTCAAACTGATAATGAACAGATACAAAACTACAAATGTTTAAATCTTTCCTACTAGGATACCCGTGCTAGGTTGAATTCTGCCAATCCTATGGTTCCAGCTTCACCCAGCACTCGAGTGCAATTCAGTTATTTTCCATTGGCTAGTTATTTGCAATTGCCAATGAGGGTCGATCAACGCAGTCTCCAGTCCACCAAGTCAGTCCGATTCACAACCCGTGGAGGTATCGCCGGCCATCACTGCATCATAATGACGTCGTCGTCATCGTCGTCGTCGTCGTCGTCGTCGTCGTTGTCGGTGCTGGAGAGGCTCTGCACAGAGGAGGAGGAAGAGGACGAGTCCGGGCTGGAGATGTCCACGGTGGCGCTGGGCCGCGGCGCGGAGCGTGGCGGCCGCTGCTGTGCACGCGCCACCGCCACCGCCGCCACCGCCGCCCGCCGAGGAGTGGTGCTGCAGGATGGTGGACTGTGCTCGCAGCGCACACACACGCGCGCACACACACGCACGCACGCATAAAGACAAAGATCCCCCGTATAGCCTTAACAGACTGTAGGGGTAAGTGCTGTTAGCGAGCACCTATGAAAGCCAGCACGGTACACGAGGAGGTGGGTGGTCAGCACCACGCCCGACCGCCTTTGTCTCCCCAGTGGCGATGTTTACACACCGCATCAGGTACTCATTTTGAGGCTGAGTCAACCTAGGGGAGGCCCGGGACCGGTTCAGATAATCATCACTGGTGTTGGCCGTGAGCGGGAATCGAACACTAGTTGCTGGGTTTGTAGCGCAGCGTGCTAACAGACACACTACCGCTCACGCAGACAGCATTCAAGACAGACACACAGAGACTGAGGGAAAGACAAAGACGGAGAGACACGGAGAGACAGGGAAGCACGCCTCTCCTCGAGTCGGCTTGGGCAGGGCACGTCACTAGCCACTAGCACCTCCAGCGTGTACTGCGACACCTACACTGCTGCGTCTCTCTGTTTTGGTGTCTCTCCATGTCACTGTGTGCATCTCCGTGTCTGTGTGTATCTCTGTTGCCCCCGTGGAGATACACAGTGGCGTATCTTTCAGCGCCGCGTGTTTGCGATCCGAGTGTAAACACGTCGTGAATCAACCCACGGGGCTCTGGGGCAAAAGGAGCGGCTTTGCAAACGGAAGTTAGCAAGTTTATAAAACGAAACTTTTTATTTGACCAGATAAGGCCCCATTAGCTATATACAGTACTCCCTGGTTATTCGCAAGGGATACGTTCCTGAGATGCTCGTGAATAGAACATTTTGCGTATGATATTGAATAACCTCAAATACGTAAATAAGCTATTCAATACATGATAATTATCACATTACTTTATCTTATCACTGTTTCTCATAACTTTATCCCCTCACTTTAATCCTATCACTTTATCTCTCATCACTTTATTTTTATTTCTCTGTCGATGCAGCAGTCGTGTAGCGTTCCAGATGCGATTCGCAGATAGCCAAAATTACGGAAAGAAAGTTCGTAAATATCGAGGGAAAACTGTAGCTCTTTTTCAGAAGCGACCTAACCACAAATGATAGCCCAATGAAGTGGCTTATGACGTGCAAATTAATAGCGGCCAAATACTCTAAACGCATGTTGATTCTAAATGTGTAGGGAAAACCCGGAGGACCCGGAGAGAGAGACACGCAAACTCCAAATATACAGCAGGCGTCAGGGTCGGGATGGAACCAATGATCTCCTGTATACCAGGCGAGGTAATTAACATCCTGGTTGGGGGTTGAAAAAACGACGACCACCTTGTGGAGAAGTCAAGAGTGGTCGTTCTATGATAAAACCCACGCCCCACCAGAGAAACATGGAATTTCCACCACTGGCTCAGGGCTGTAAACGGGAGACAAGCACCGTTTCAGTATTCATTTGAGCCGGAAATCACTTTGACTCTTAAGGATTGGTACTGCGCACCCCGCCACTGGAATCCTTCAGCGTGATGGAGCAGGCTGGCGTTTTGTTGCAATAAAAACATTTAAAAATTATTTTTAAAGTATCAGTACGTCAGCGAGCGGGTCACGTGCAGGGCCACACGAGTTGCGTGCACGCGTGCGGCGGGGCGGGGGGGCCTCACCTTTAACCGCTGCTTCGTCTCCTCCGTCACCCCGGCGGTGAGCGTGTGTGATGTGACGGTGGTGGAGAGTGGTGGCACCGTGAAGGGGTTCAGCTGAGACCCCGGTGCTCGTGACGAAAGGGCCAGTTTGGCGGCCGACATGGAGGGCGCTGACATTTTGGAGAGCGAGGCCACCACTGTCGCTGGGACATTTGCCAGCAGAGATGAAGAGGAAGTCGTCCCCACCGCGCGAGCTGCTGCCGTAGCCGAAGCCGATGACGAGGCGGCTGGCCCAGACCTCGCGGACGTGGCACGGAATGAAGCCGAGGTCGAATGCGACGACGGCATCGGCGCGCTGGGCAATGTCGCGGGCGGCACTGCCGGCATTTTCGATGCCACGTAGTAGGCTCCTGATGGCAAGATTGACGGCATGGACGATATCTGTGTCGATTTGAAGGGAAATTTTGATGTGGAGGGCGCTGCCGCGGATGACCGCGACAATGGATACGGAGCCCTCGGTTTAGCGGCAAGGGATGAAGACGTGTGGGGTAGGGCTGACATCACTAACGACGACCGTGCCGACTGCGATTGTGCCTGCGTCCTCATGGCCAGCGCGGCGGAAGAGGTTCCCGCTGAATGCGAGTGAACTATTGGAGCCGACGTAAACTTCGGCACTGTGGAAGCGTGCACGGAGTGCGACGTCTGTGCCATGGTTTTGGTCATCGAGTGGGACATTGATGAAGGGATAGGCGGATTTTTGAGGGGTATGACGAGCCTGGACACAGAGGTCTGGGTGCCTCTGGGCCTGGCGCGAACGCCGTCTCCTGCAGGGAGAGACAGAAAATCCTCAGTGAGAGGTAAGGGAATGCAGTGAGATATGCTGGGAGGCAGACACTGAACTTCACAACGTGTTTAAATGCAAATATCGAATGGGTCTTTATAAGGGAATATACAGTACTACTCACACATTTCCATAAATGATGCAAACAAGTGCCTATGAAACAATACAGTCTCAGAGTTGGAGTTTAGTTAAGTTAAATACAAAAACAATTTAATATCTTGGGTTTGGTTGTTGTTTTACACTCGCTGGTGACCGGGCTGCGGCCATGAACTTGCTGCACTCGAGGGCCAAGTTTAACCACAAGACGGCCGACAGTCGCGTCGTGGGGTGTGAGCGGCAGCGGTGGCGAGGGCTCACCGGGCTTGGCATTGTAATCCTGTAGCCACGGTCGCGGGCCCTGGGGCTGCCGGGCGGGTGCGTGCACAAGGCTGGGCGCCGTGGGCACATACACATGCTGGCTCTGCTGCTGGGCAGGGACAAACATTTCCCTGCAGTCCTTTGTAAACTTTGGTGTCAAGGGACCTTCCGCTGGCATCTGCATCACGAAAAATTAAACAGTGTTATTCTTCCACACCCCGTTGGGTGCATAAACGAACCCCGGTTATTAGTCTGAAATCGTTTGGCGATGTTCACGGTACACGCGTCGTTTGTGTGCGAGTCACGTTTCATTCCTTCGCGTTGTTACACACGGAACGCACGGATTATAGAGGGTACGTAGCTCAATGAGATCAATCTAACTGTTAAGAAAACGAATTGGGCTTGGGCAGGACACATCTCGGCTGGAGAGGGCGAGGACCGATGTAGTCAAGAATGACGACGGAGTGTGAGTGTGTACATATGTTGGAGCGGCAACTAAAGAACGGAATGTGTTCTAGAGGACGTCGATGGCAAGGAGATGGAGCGAATAGTTCACGAGAGAGCTTCTGTGCGTCGCCACACTCGACGGCCATGTCTGCCATTTTAACCAATGGCAAAAATCTAAGGTTGTGTAGCGATGTTGATTTGCCTATTAAACCTCAGCATGTGTAGATTGGCAACACATGTCCATGATGAGAAGCCAACTGATAGAACTGGAGTTTTAAAGCGTTTTGCGTGTAAAATGAGTGCAAACGTTCACCTGTTTCTGCATCGTTGCAGACAGCTGCTGGTGACACAATCGAATAGCGTGCTCCAAAGACGCCCCTCCTTCCTCTGGCTGCACAATAGAAATGTACAAATAAAACGTGACTAACAACGACAATAGCTACCGTTCACCGCTAAGCGGTGCTGACATCCGCACGGCTAATGTTTTCAAGTCCTCTGCATTGGCCAAGGACCTACTGGCAGGTGGTCACTGGTAGATGCACCAGCCACGCGCTCCCCACGGTGCCAACTTGCTGCGCACTATTGTGCCACTTGGTGCTGGCAAACAGCTGTTGCCCTCAAACGTTCCGGTTATGGGTCAACTCAGCTTTCACCATCATCATCATCTCCCCAGCACTGTGACGATGAGTCCAACCTCAAGTCAAGACCAGTTGTTGACGCTTTGATTTGCTCCCGCCATAGGAATGTGCCATCTACACCAACTGCTCAGAGCTGTGAAAAGGAGTTGAGCAGCAACCCACACTTACCTGGATGGAAAACCACTTGACTTTGAATATTGGAGGACAATATTAATACATTGCTTTGCAATACAAAGTCACACACGTACCACATACATCACTCTAATTTTTACTATAATAGACAAAGTAATTTATACCATACCCATAATAATACTAAACGGAGCACTAAGAGAACCACACCACAGCTGGTTCTTAGCTCAATAACTCAATTTGAACGAGCAACTAAATTATCTTTTGATGGACTGGCACCTAAAGAAAATGCGTGAATGAGGGCGCTGCCACAGTGGCGTAGTGGTGAGCACACTGAACGTGCAATCCAGAAGTCACCGGTTCAATTCCCCTCTTGCGACGCGGCAGTAAAAACAACGGGGCGAGTTTCTTAAATCCCTCGCCTGAGTCCTCCCAGCGGTGTAACTGGGTGCAACCACCACAGTGAGTCGATCGGCAGGTCGCGTGCGGCCAGATAAAGCACACACACTCCAAACTTCTTCCAAGATGCGTGGTATATGTGGAAGAGCAGACCAAATATCGTCTCCGGCAGGCCCTTCCACCAGCAGTGGTGTGAGCAAGCCAATGCAGGGGTGTATTTTTACCTTTTAACAACTGAGACAATGTGAGGTTCTAGCTTAGCTTTGTTTCATTTTACATTATTTTGAAAATAAAAATCCACCACAGCAGCACCAATGTCAAGACTCTCTGCGTGCCTTATTGGCTGGATGGCAATGCCAACACCAATCATTCCCTCCCTACTCTTCACTGCCAACGCTTTTGGAGTTTTTTGTTGGCGAGCTGCTACAGTAGGAGAGTGACGCAAATGGACAGCAGATGCGCACCGAGAACAAGGGCGCTGCGGTCATGCCGTGCCACAGATCTCACCGGCTTGATGAGCGTGTACGCGCGCACGATGACCTGCTCCACACGGCCCAGGTCGTCTGCCTGTGACCTCTGACCCTGCTGCCACAGACGGAATGCCTCCAGCAGCAAGGAACGTACACGCTCCATGCGCCCCAGCTTTGTGGAGCTGCCAAGGAAAGTAAAATGACAGCGCTCGTAACAATATCCAATCGAATACATCACTGAACTTCACAACGTTCCAACACATCCAAATGTCACTGTCTCGCTTGCACAATGCTCACTCCGCTGGGTCTGTCCTTAGTTGAGTTGGCGATCAGCTAATCCCTTGCTTATATTTCTCTGACCGTGGCTTCCCCTGGCTTTCCCTATCTCCACCCAGCAAATCTCTCTGCAAGCCAGGGATGCCGTGCTGGTATTGCCATAGCCCTGCGGAGCGCCGGCTCTGACCGCACCTCTCCACTGGCTCCTCTGCCTGTCCTGCTAAGCTCCCACTCTAACCAGAGACCTTCACTGAAGTGCATCACACACCACAGTGATGCATCCTAACTCCTCTCATCTCCTATGCCCTGGTGAGACTCATCTCCGGTTCCAACAACAGTGCCTAGGCACTGAACTGTCCAACTCGCGTTGCAGACATTTGCATTTTGAACCCGACGGCCGCCCTGGTTCATACTGTGGGTGTATTAACCGCAAAAAATACTACGCATCATCTGTTTCACAGTGGACGTTAAACATCACCTGACACCATTCATGGTCCAAAAACAAACACACGAGGATCGCCTCTCCTCCTGGCAGATGAATACCCTTGTGCCCTCAGGGACTGCTAATGTAAGTCACCCAACACGTGTAAAGTGTCCCTCAGATGCCACGGTGTAAAGGGCGCCCTATCCAAGCAGGCGTTCCTCACCTCTCTGTGAAGGGGTTAAACGCCGGCTTGGCTCTGCCTTGCTCGACGCTGCTCCCCACGCCTGCGTGTCGAGCCTCCGGCCTGCTGCAGGAGCCTTTACGCTGCTCCGCTTCCTCCTCCTGGGATCCGCACGAGCACACATATGCTCAAAGACAAAGATTCCCTGAATAGCCTCATCAGACTATTGGGGAAAGTGTTGTTCGCGAGCATCTATGAAGGCCGGCATGGCACACAAGGGGGTGGGTGGCCAGCACCACACCCAGCCGCCTTTGTCCCCCAAGTGGCGATGCTTACTACACACTGCACCAGGTACTCATTTGAGGCTCAGTCGACCTAGGGAAGGGCCAGGACCGGTTTAAATAATCGTCACTGGTGTTGGCCGTGAGCGGGAATTGAACCCGGGTTCGTAGTGCAGCGCGTTAACTGCTATACCACCGCTCCCCAGACACACGCACACGCATGTACGGAGCCGTGGCAAGACCCCACATGGAGACCGTCGTTACCCACGGACACATCGCGGCCTTTCACAAACCACCTACAGCAAGGCGGCAGATTCGCGGAGATGGCACGGGGTGGCGCTCAGCCGCTGCCCTCACGGTGGCCACGAGCGCTACGGCCAAGGCCATGCAGCCTCCACGAGGGCCTTGCATACATCTCACCGCCATCGACTTTGATTGGGTGTTAAACATCGAGATGTCTGCCAGCCATCTCGTGGAGTGGAAACCGCATAACAAGCACGGTTGTATTGGTATTGTTGAATGTTTTTGTCCTCTTCTCCAATGTCAATTCGCTTGTATCCACCGGCATAGGGTGACGCATACTTGAGGATTTGGTTACGGCACTGACAAATCCGCAGCAGTCACAAGTGGTGTGTTTAACCTGTGGGTATTCACAGCCGATGTTATGATTCACAATTTATTTTTGGGTAATGATCTGACCTAATCTGTGTCATTTGGAACCCTGCATTATCCAATTGCTACATTTGGATGTGAGGGGTTGATCGTCGTCTCACCGGTGAGTGAGCTGAACAACAACAATTGGCGCGTCGTTAAAACGCGTGACCACGTGGCTATCTAACCTGGTTGGCCGTGTCGGGTGGTGGAGGGTTCCTTATCCACTTGCATGGATAAGGCTTGCCACACAGCACCCGACGGTAGTGGTGTTGTGCAGTCACAAATGTGGAACGGCATAGACAAGCTACCATTGCCACGACTATGCTTATTTATCCTGGAGAGCCTCAAGAATGTTTTTTTTCCCCAAGAGGGTCCTGCAAGTTTTCGGGTGAGGGAGCAACGTTTGATATGCGAGTCATCTTACAAAAATGTGGACGACGCCGGCGCACGGGATCTCTTAACGTCCACCGCGAAGCAGACTACGCAAAATGTTTGGTTAATACACCCATGGTATTAACTAGTGGTATTAACCAGGGTGGCCTGCAGAATTGAACTGCCAACCTTTGCATTAAGTGGTGAATCCGCTACTGCTGTGCCCCGTCACACTGGACCCAGAGTTATTTACTGCCCTGACATACACAGCGACTGCGAGTTCAGAACAGCTTAATGTTGTTAACTGGCAACTCTGAGTCAACAAAAACACAATTCTGAATGTTATGTCACAGATGACATGAAACACTACTTCTTCTCCGTAATCGCTCGGGCAAGTGTGACAAAAGGTGGAAGTGTCGTGTGTGAACGACGATCGACAGCGAGTACCGTTTTAACAATGTTCTGCAAGTTTTCATCCAAGACTTGTGCGGCGGAGGAGAAGGCCTGCTTTGCCAACTGCAGGCGATCCACATCACGCAGATACTTCCTGCAGCACGGCGGCACGGCGGCACAGACAGCAGCAGCAGGTTAACTGACTGTGAGAAGCTTCAGACAGTGTCTAACACATTCACAAGAAGTACTGTGTGGGGCGTTTGTTAACGCCTTAACGGACAATGACTCACAGCCAGGAAGTGGTGCAATGCAATGTGTGTTCATTTGAGCAGGAGTTCACGTTAACACTTGACTTGCCTCCAAACACAGCGTGCCGGTGGGCTTTGGAATGGGGTCCTATGAGAGACGTTACTGCGTGGTTGGGGGGGGTGGCTGCTACCAAAAGTAACTCTCACAATGGCCAGAGATGATTTAACAGCTCCGCCACAACGGTGAGAGAGTGGGGTTCATGCATAATCTCTCCGGTCCCATTCACCAGCGTGACAGGCCTTGTCCAAGGATCCCCCATCAGCGAGCGCCTCTACAATCTACATGGAGCTGATCGAGTCTCGTGCTTGGCGCACGTGGAGTGGTGGTGTCAGCACCGTGCGGATGGTGGTGGGAGTGACGTGGGGAGTGAGTGTCTCACTTCCCCTGGTCAGGCGTGCGGTGGAGAGCGGACGACACTCGCAGCAGCGTGTCGTGGTCCTTGAGCCGCTGCAGAACGTCCAGCAGCAGTACGATGGAGCGATTCATGTGAGCGCCGAAGCTGCCGGGGCGATCAATCTCATCGACGGGGATCCGCCACACGCCCTGCACTCCAGGGCATGCACACCAGCGCCAAGATGTTATCTTCCTTGCCAGGTACAAAGGAGGGCGTGGGTTCGATTCTGACTCCGACACCTGTATATTTGGAGTTTGCGTGTTCTCTCCCCGTGATGCGTGCGTGGATTTTTCTCCAGGTCCACTGGTTTTTTCCCTCCACATTTAGAAACATGTGTAGAGAGAGTGCACTGACTCGTGGCCAGAAGTGGTAATTGCGGGTTTGAGAACAGTATGGGCAGAAAGAAAGGCAGATACACGGGAGCGACCACAAGGGAGAATATCTAGGCCAAGGGTCAGAGAGGGGATCCAGCTGGGAGTTCCCAGAACTAGCTAGAGAGTTCGAGAAAGGAGCTGTGTCCAGGGTGGAGCCACGGCCATGCTGGGAGGATATAAGGGAGCGAGGAGCGGGATTCTGGGCTGTCGTGGGGGTCGGAGTCCAGGGCGGAGCAAGGCCACGCCGGGAGCATAAGAGGGAGTCGTGAGCGAGAGCTCGGGGCTGTTGCTAGAAGTGGATTCCCTCGCCGTGCTGTTGTCTCGCCACCATCGTCGCCGCCTTCTTCACCATCGCTGGACGCCGCTAGCTAGACAGTCCTGCCAACTGTTCTAGTTAGATAATGCCGCCGATGATAGACGGTTGCGTGTGTGACATATATATGGTGTACACCCACGTAGGGTGCGTATAGTCCCCATTGTGGGTAAGAATAAAGAAGGTGCCTCCCACTACTACTGTCTCCGAACTGCGTCACTACACACGCATTAAGATTATTTGGCTGCCGCTTTAAATTCCCACATGTGATGATATCAGCCACTTCGAAGCGCTATCATGTGTGGCCAGGTCCCCTCTGAAAAAGAGTGAATAGCTCAGTGAGCTTAATCGGGTAAAATAAAATAGTTTAGTTTTAAGTTTACTGCGGACTGACACGCCACTGCGCTCTGACACATATCTGCTCGGGCTGAACGCCTTTTGGTCTCCTCTGGTCTAACACCGTTTGAAACGAGGCTCAAAAGAAAGCTGTCTCGGGTGTGGACCAATCAGTTTCAAGGACAATGAATATATTATGTTTTTTGTTTGCATTCTGACAACAAGCATTGGTGGTTAATGCAGACATGATTCCTTGTAAAAGGTTTCAGTTTGGTGCTTTAACGTCTTAACACCTGTTTATTTGCCAGAACAAAGGGGAGAAAACCTATTATCACATAACTGCTAATTGAAACATCACTGCACACTGACATCACTGCACAGAGACTCATCACTCCAAACATCTGACGCATGTACAGCGGACTGCGTTCACATTTTCTGTATTAAAAAGCAGGAAATGGTCTGTAAGATGTGACGCATTTCCAGCGCTGATGGCAAGTATTTTGTGAGGCCAGTTGGAGGCAAATTGGCTCCCATCATTACAGTCCCATGGAACTTGGGACTATCACGATGGGAAGACAATATGACCTGTGTCTAGACAGGAGCACACTAAGCCGTGCAAATAACACGATGGGACACGCGCCCTCTTGCTGGGGGCGAGACTCACGTTGAAGAAGTTGGTTTTGTTGCGCTCAAACAGGAGGCCCTGTGCTGGCATGTGTGGAAGCTTATGCCATGCCATCGCGCTTCCCAGCAGCACATCCCGAGCCCACGCCAGGTTCTGCATGGGGGAGACGTGCGGGAGACGAGGTGGCGCAACGCGTCACATCATATTAACAATTGAATAATAAGAATTAAAATAATGAATAATTTACTTGGTTTAGTATTCTCGGCGACGTGGTGGCGCTCGGCTATCGCGACGGTGACGCTTTTCACGGGCAGCGGCGACGGCGTGCCAAGGCCGTGCCGCTCACCTTGTGCTCACGCCCGTGAGCGTAGAGGTGCGCCAGGCGGTACAGGCTCTTGTAGTGCTGGGGGAAGCGGTTGAGGCAGAGGCGCAGGGCGCGCACGCACATGTCCACCAGGGCGCGGCGGCACGTGGCGCGGCACGCCGGCAGCGGCGGGGCCGGGGGCACCGAGTCGGCGCCTGCCGGGGAAGCGGCGAGGGGTGGCACGGTTCCGCCACCGGCGTTGGACGTGGCGGAGGCGGCGCCGACGTTGGACGCGGTGACGGCGCTGGAGGCCGTGGAGTAGGAAGGGTCTCTCAGATTGCCCTTGGATTCCACTGCTTTCGTTTTCAATTCCTGCCCAAGGGTGGAAGGACAGAGAGCGTTGTTTTCGCAACGCGTGTCGCGAGAGGTCCAAGCCCTGGAGGCATTTGCTGCCCGTATCCAAAAATACACATCGACTAAGCAATTGGATAACAACGCCACTGCCACTTCTGCAATACAACCAAACGTTCTGCCGGAGCAAAGACTGATTGCACAGTTTCACAACGGATAATTACGTCTGACAACATGTTTTCTAACTGCCCTCATACATCGACGCAAATCGTGCATGAGCCAGCAGCAGCTGCTGCTGTGAGGGTTTTAGTTATCAAATTAAAGCCACATCTGAAACTCCTCTAACACAAGTGAAGACAGCGACACCGTCTGTTTCTACTCAGTACAACAACTGCAGGAAGTCGAAGACCAGGGAGTTAAATAATGTTATCAGATGCAGTTGTGTATTCCTTACTCCACTCCTCAATATTAATTGCCCCGAATAATGAACTTAGGCCTGTGTCCTAGTGGCAACTCAGCTCAGGCTTGATTCTCGCTCAAGTGAGCCGGCCTGAAGCTGTGCTCAACCTGGGCCAATGCTGAACACCGATTCCCTATCACAGAGGTGGCAGTGAGCACCTCTTCTCTGCATCATCCATGGCGTCCATACATCACACGTTATGACGAAGGGTCTAACGATGAGTATAGGTTTTCTAATTTTTTTCTGGCAACAAAACAGGTGTTAAGATGTTAAAATGCAAACAAAAAACATATTCTGATAATATGCATTGTCTTTGAAACTGATTGGTCCACACCAGAGACAGCGTTCTTTTGAGCTTAGTCTCAAACGGTGTGAGACCAGAGGATGCCTTTTGGCGTCCTCTCAGTTTAAAAGACAATGCATATATTATCAGACATTTTTTACTGATTGGCCGTGTCGGGTGGTAGAGGGTTGCGACACATTCATAAATAACGCGATCTAACCAAAAAACCTTTATTATGGATGATGATGAGACTAATTATTATGAGTATAGTAATAATGATTGCTGGGTGTATGGAAGTTTGCACTAATAATGATGAGGCCACTTATAATGACGGTACAATAAAATCGATGAAGACCATGGGTCTGATGACAGGACTGGTGATGATGGAACTAATGACAAACAATGAAACTTATAACGTGTCTATCAATACCAAAGGCAACGTGATTTTTGATGACGGTGCAGCAGCGAAGCCGCTCCACAAATTCCAGTGAGAGCACCGAGCAGACAGCCAGTACCCACCGCTTCTACACATCCCAAGGAGAGGGGATTCTCCGCGCTCCGCATGGTCTCCCCTTCGACCGTCAAGGTCGAGCCACCGGCACAGCCCTTAACCTCGCCCACGGCGGCTCCACCCTGCACCTTGCCCGCAGCCGTGTCGCCCACCGTGTCGCCCACCGTGTCACCCCCCACTGTGTCGCCCCCTGCTGTGTTGCCCGCTGTGTTGCCCACCGTGTTGCCCACCGTGTCACCCGGAACGTCGCCTGTAGCGTCGCCCACCATGTCGCCCACAGTGTCGCCTTGGCTCTTCGTCTTGCACCTCTTTGCCTCTCCCCCCGGCTTCGCTGGTGCCCCGTGCTGCTCCCCCTCCGAGCCAGAAGTAGTTTGTAAGTCTCCAACAAACACGTCGTTGGCAGAGCTCGAGTCGGAGGTCAGCACAATCAGACTTTCCTGACTGTGTTCTGTGTGCATCCATGTGTACGTGTGTGCATGCGTGTGTGTATATGACGTGTGCTGTGTGTGTGCGTTTACGCACGTTGATGTGTGTGCAGGATTGGGCACATACACATCACAGAAGAGACGAGAGAAAACACAATTTGAGAATATTCATGTCCGCATAATTGCTCCAGTAAAGCAACAGCCTGTGCCGAGTGCCATCAAAATAATAAGAATGTACGATTGTTTAAAAATAACACTAACACCAAGATTACAGACATCACCTGGTGAGAATTTTTCACCAGGATCATGTGTCAAGCAAAAAAAAGTACAAATATTAAAACATTATATATGTGTTAGTCGTTTACAAAGCAAAAAAATCAATCATGTTAAAAGGAGAGAAAGAAAAAAATATACACGAAATTAATTTGTCAGTGCACAAAACAATTAAATTCCACAAGTGCACACCAACTCACCCACCAGCACCCAGTGCAGCAGCGGAGAAAGCAAGCGTGTGGGATCAGGCCGGCAAGCACACGTGCGGACACACGCGCGGACACACACCCACGTACGCCATGCACCCACAAATGCACACACTGACACGCACACACACGCACACCCACTGACACGCACACACAAACCCACACGCGCATACACAAACGCCCACACCAGACACGCACAGACACCCTCACAGCGCTCAGCGTTGCCTAAAAATATATAGATATATTTTTTGGTCAATCTTTGTAACATAAATCCAAGCCATTTGGGGCAGCAGCAGGAGCAGTAGCAGGGGGAAATAGCAAAGTTATGAATTTTGAAGCATTAATTTTTGAAAATTTAGTGGCCAGTACCCTGGTAAGGCTGGGCGTAGGAGGTGAGTAGGCCTTGCCGGATGTAATCGTGGTCAGTCGGGGCGGAAGGGCACGGCTGGGGAGGTGGGGTGGCGGTAGTTGAGGCTGCTTCTGATGGTGGTGGTGGTGGTGGTACGTGGTGTGGCACACCTGAGCTGTGATTCGGTGGCTGCGCGTGATGAGGAGGGGCGTTCGCGCTCGGCACGGCACTTAGATCGCGAGCTTCGTCATCTGTGGCACCACCGCGAGTGTCCCTGGAAAGAGGGGCTCGTGAATCTCTGGCAAAACGCAGCGCCGGAGTGCACCACCGTGAATCAAGAGCATCGGAGTAAAACTATACTAAAAACACTTTTTTATTTACCAATAAAAAAGTTTTGTAAATTTTCCTTCCAACACATGATCTATCTCCTTCAATGTATGATATCATTGCGACTTGGGCACAAATAGCTGACTGAAAGAGACACTTGTCAATTTAGAATAGCGCATAAAACGTCGCAGTAATTTATGTTTTCCTGGAAATGCAGCATTCATAGCTCCAGACAAGGCTCTAGAACATCGCCAACACAGCTACATTTGCCTTCCACATGACAAAGGCACCAGGAACATCTGTCCCGGGTGTCCAGCAGCTGTTCTGATGAAGCGGTGAATGATGTGGTGTCTGGATGCCATCGTAAGAACGCTTGTGTAGAATTGGCTTGGTCAGTTGTGTGGCCCCCTCCCCCGATGATGTCGTTACCCGTGAACAGATCACCTGTTATATATTTTTCATTTTGAGGTGTCACTGTCATCTCGCGATGTCCCATATGATGACGTCATTACCTTGGCCTGCAGTGAATACTTTTAGCGCTGGTTTTTATTGCCAGGTTTTGGCAGGGAAACTCCCTGAAAGCAACAGACCCTTCCACTAACGTCTCTGTTATAATGGATCATCATAACGAGAGTGAGTAATCTCATGTCACCTGTTACAGACAGATGGTCAGAGCTAATGGATTATTGCTTTCAACCTGAGATAGAAATAATTAAAAAACGGTACCAAATGACATTATGCATTCATTTAATCGTAAGAACTGCCCATGTGCTGGTTCAGCATCACATGTAAACAATCAGTGTGACTTTGAGTAATCAGCTCGGACATTAACATTCACCCTGTCGCCACGACACCCCTAACCTCCCTAGCCCTGCTGTAGGAAGATCCCACTCCTCACTTCTCCGCCAGTTTGTACGCGTTTTTCTCCTCTCCGCGAGCGAACGGCCCATTGGCCGTGGCCCACATGACCCGGTAGAGTTCCTCAAAATCCACGTCGGGCTTTCCGCCGGGCGCCCCCTTCTCCAGCAGCTTCAGGGTGGATGCGTGCAGACGGAAATAAACCTGCACGCGGCACGCAGACACCCAGAGGTACACCTCGACTACAAAGACGCGCAGCGGAAGCAATGGTGTGCTGCGCAGGGCTGTGCGTGTCTCAACGTGCACACGGGGACCGCTGAAGGGGCCCCCCGGTTGTGCACCTCCAAGGCCTCCATCGCCAGGTCTGGTTGACTGTGGTAATGAATCTTCTTCGGGTAGCGTGCCGCCACCTCGTGCAGGTGATGCGCTGCCTGCGGACACACGCACACAGGTACGCACACGCACGCAGGCATGCACACGAGTGGCGTGAAGCATCGACCGAATCATGGGGAAATATCATTTTGTAGTGAGTCCAACTGAGTCGCAGACGTTGTCTTTGGAGCAACACTATTCATTCAATAATTCAACACAACATAACACAACCTACACTTGGGTGTTGAATGCTCATCTAGCCACGCTACGGCAGAACTAGACACGGTTCGATATCCTGGCCCGGACCACAAGCTGGGTCCTGGACCGCGTGGCTAGAGGCTTCTTTTACCCAACGTGGATCTTCATCACCAGCAACTCGAAGAACCCCGAGCCCCTCACGGGGCCCCCGTTATATCGGCCTGGGCTGGGGCTGGCTCTGCCTCTCGCCCCACCCACCTTCTAGATCTCTCCAGCTCTTTCCCGAAGGCTCCCGAGAGCTCCTCTATACCACGTGACCGCCCAGCGGCCCCCGTCCACTGGTGGCCCAGTCATGTATCGGCAGGTCAACCAGCGTATCATGCCCCAACGTAACCCTGGCTGGCTGACACTCCCTCTCGCTCCCTCACCATGAGCCCGCACCGCACACTGTACGCAGTGCCTCCACGCTGACCAGGGCTCACCCAAGCCCCGCTAGGGCTGGTGGTACTTCGCCCAGTAAGCGGGCTACACATAACGTCAACACATTATCCGCCATGGCTTCGTAAGCCCGGCACTACACAGTAACACTCACACTCACAATTTCATAACATATGCACATTCATTTTGCTTCCTCAGTGCTGACTTGGAGAGATTAAAGAAAATTATTTTCTCATCACGAACAATAGTTAAACAGTTTGACGTATCTGTATGTAACTTTGTGGTATTCCTCAAATCTCGACCAGAATGCTTGTATGAAAGCACTGTGTGCGCTGGTGGATGTGTTGACATGTGTTTGCCGTGACGGCAATGCTGTAATGGCTCCGCTCACTCACCTGTGCATAGTGATGCAGGTACGTCTTGGGTTCCGCTCCCTGCTTCTCTGCGATCTTCCCGTGCATGTAGTGGATGAGCCACGCCTCCTCCTCCGAGTCGCCGGCCGCCTTGCAGCGCCCGGCCGCCACGAAGCTGTCGCGCGCGCGCTCCAGCATCTTCTCACGCCGCGCCGCCATCTGCACGCACGCACAGATACACACATACACACACCGTACGGCACACACACGCACACACGCACGCACAGATACACACATACACACACCGTACGGCACACACACGCACACACGCACGCACAGATACACACATACACCGTACGGCACACACACGCACACACGCACGCACAGATACACACATACACACACCGTACGGCACACACACGCACACATGCACGCATAAACAAAAATCCCCCGTATAGCCTTAGCAGACTGTAGCGGCAAGTGCTGTTAGTGAGCACCTGTGAAGTTAGGAACGGTACACGAGGGGGTGGGTGGCCAGCACCATGCCCGACCGCATTTGTCACCCCAGTGGCGATGTTTACACACCGCAACAGGTCCTCATTTGAGGCTGAGTCGACCTACGGGAGGCCCAGGACCGGTTCAGATAAAAGTCACCTGTGTTGGCTGTGAGCGGGAATCGAGCACGGGTCGCCAGGTTCATAGCGCAGCGCGCTAACCGCGACACCACCGCTCCCCACTCACGCATGCACGCGCACACATTCACACACGCACCAAGGTCTGTGATGAGACCCGGAATTACAGTGCAAATCCATTGGCACAAGCAATGAGAACCAGAACTAGAGTAGATCCACTTGCACCAGCAATGAGAACCAAAACTAGAGTGGATCCACTGGCACCAGCAATGAAAACCAGAACTACACTGGATCCACTGGCACCAGCAATGAGAACCAGAACTAGAGTGGATCCACTTGCACCAGCAATGAAAACCAGAACTACACTGGATCCACTGGCACCAGCAATGAGAACCAGAACTACACTGGATCCACTGGCACCAGCAATGAGAACCAAAACTAGAGTGGATCCACTGGCACCAGCAATGAGAACCACGCGTCTGCACGAGCACACCTCCTGCGCCACGTCATCCTGCAGGCCACCGTGCTTGCACTGCCGTGACGAGTACGAGTGCAGAGCGTAGCAGGCGGCGCCGTACTCGATCCACAGTGACAGGTTCGTGGGGTCAAGCTCTAGCGCGCGCTGGAAGCAGGTGAGGGTGGCCAGCGCCGGCTTCCACACAGGGCCATCGCTCTTCAGCTCGTTCGAGTTGAGCTTGTCCTGTAGGCGGCTCGCCCGCGCCAGCGCCATGCCGGCCCACGAGTCGAACCTGGCACGCGGACACACGTGGGCACATGTGTCACGGCCGTCCGGGCGCCAAAGTGTTGCGCCGCACTGTTGCAGCAAGGCGTGGTGCACGCACGCGCATCCCATGTGCATGGCGTGGACCTCCACTCTGTAGGCCGGAGGACGTCACGTGTCCTTTGCATAGGTCTAAGAGTCTGGCCGGGTGGCTCAGCGGCGAGGCAAGTGGGCTTGCAACAGGAAGCCACTTGAGCTATGCACTTTCATATTACTACTATAATAGCCCAGAAATGTCCGTAACGCGTGTGACGTCACTCCACATGCCGAACCGCCCCCCCCCCCCTTCATCAAATATGACGTTTATTTACAGAAAGTGACAGCCAAAAATAAATATAAGCAGCACAGCGCTACATACGTACGTGAGGTCACTGCAAAAGAGCCCCCCCCCCCCCTCATTAATAATCATGAGCGGGTGGATTTTTACACTCCTGCAGGTCGAGTGGAAATAAAAAAATGTACGCAAATTCGCTTTAAATTTGATGTTTCTTTATTGTAAGTTAATGAAATAAATAATTGTACGCAGCAACAAAGTGCATTTGGTGTCTTTATTTATTTCTTCAGCACTTGAAACTAAATCTAATTTTTGCTTCGAAATTATTATAAAATAGATACATTTCTCCGTAATTTTCCAGACATTGTAACGATTTCAAATTGATTACAACCCCAGCGAGCGAAAGCAGAACAAATTGAAGTATCAGAGCAGTGATTTTGAAGTAATTGAAAGTGAGTTAAATGCAGTGCTACAGTGACATGAAGTGAGGTGTTTTATTACACTTTTGTGCAAGAATCACTGCCATTAATACAGTCCAAGAGATTCAAGCAAAATATCGTAAAACGAGGTTTCATTTTTTAAGTTAATAAAAATGTATTTACGTGCAACAATTCCTAAAAAAATGTACAATCACAAGAAAACGTAAATGTACATCTTTAATATTACAGCTTCCGTCCTAGGATGGGCAAAAGGCTAATTTAAGGTCAGTTAAATACAGTGCTACAGTGATATGAAGTGAGGTGTTTCATGACATAGTTTGTGCAAGCATCACTGCCATTAATACAGTACTACAGTGCAATGAAGTGTAGTGTTTGATGACATTCTGTCGTGCAAGATGCACTGCCATTACATTTACACAAGGTACTATTATACTGTGCTCAATTTTATCATAAATAATCCAGCTTCCATCCTAGGACGGTCAAGAATAAAAACTCATTTCTTTTGAACTCCTTTTTGTGTTAAATGTGTTGTCCTTCTCCCGTACCTCCGACTAACACGGCTGGCCACATGCGGTGAGAAAGAAGTTCTACACACATCGTCCCACCGCTTTGTGGGGAAGCCAAAAGTGGTTGTCCTATGGATAAACTTTCCCCGGCCATAGGAATGTCGATTTTCCACCAGTCTCAGAACTGTAAACGGGAGATAAGCACTGCCTCAATGCTCATTTGAGCCGCAAATCACTTCGGCTTTTGAGTTGAACTGCAACATGCGAGCCTGTCGTGATCCACACAGGTACACTCACCATCTCACACTTACTATGCACCCCCCATTGCGTGCATACACGCACACACATGTACGTATACACGTATTAACATAGATGAGAAAACACAACCCCTGCACACAGACGCAAATGCGCGCACACACAAAATACAAAGATCTCCCATATAGCCTGAGCAGACTCTTTAGGGCAAGTGCGGTTCGCGAGCACCTATGAAGGCTGGCATGGCACACGAGGGGGTGGGTGGCCAGCACCATGCCCGACTGCCTTTGTCTCCCCAGTAGCGATGTTTACACACCGCACCAGGTGCTCATTTAAGGCTGAGTCGACTTAGGGGAAGCCAGGACCAGTAAAGATAATCATCACTGTGTTGGCTGTGAGCGGGAATCCAACTCGGGTCACTGGGTTCATTGCGCGGCACGCTAACGACTACACTACTGATCCCCGCATGCACACACATGCAGCCAAGATGTACTGAAAAACAGGTGAAGAACAACCCGCCGAAGCACCAGCACTGCACCACCACCGCCGGAAGAGGGGCTATCTTTGGGCAGTGAAGCGACCCCAGCGGTCGTGCGTTCCCCGCTTGTCGCTGAGATTCACGGCTCGATTCCGGTAGGCCGCCATTGGTTGTGACTGCGGTTGTTTGAACCGTAAACACTCTGCTTTGTCTGTTTCACGGTGGATCCCGTGACATCATTCGAAATGGGGTGGCTGTTACGTGCCAGCGTCAAGGTCCAAATATGTCAAATGTTTTAAAACAATCTGAAAGTTACTTAATCTGGATGACACTGAGCAACATAACGCACTTCTGTGAAACAACCAGAGACTGTGGCTGTGGCCACAGCGTATTCCTTGGCGATAGCCGAGCATTGTACAAAAGATAGCGACCATTACCAAATGTACTAAATAATGATTATCTCCTACGACGGGCTGCGCGGACACCTTCACAATGAGTGCCGGACTGGGGGCATAGATTTTGGGTGCAGGAGAGGAAGCAGCATACCGGTCAGGGCACACACGGATGTCCAGGAGATAAAACTTGATGGCTTTCACTTGCTCCTTGTTCTTGAAGTGGTAGTCTGCGAGCAGGTAAAATACCTGCTGGACCACCGTGGGGCTTGGGGGGGCATCCAGGGGCAGCGTGGGGGGCTGGAGACAACAGCGGCAGCATGGGAGAAAACACAGACAGCCCCCCGCAAAGATTTTAACAGACTTTTGGGGCAAGCGTTGTTAGCGAGCACATATTAATGCCGGCAAGGCACACAAAGAGGTGGGTGGCCACCACCATGTCTGGCTGCCTTTGTCTCTCCAATGCTGATGTTTACACACAGTATGAGGTAGTCATGAATGGTAAATCCTACTTCGTGGAAGTCCAGGAGCAGTTCAGATATTCATCACCAATGTTGGTCATGACCGGGAATCAAACTCGGGTTGCCAGGTTCGTAGCGCAGTGCGCGAACCACTGCGCCCGCCGCTCCGCCGTTGGGCACGCGCTGCCTTGCATGCGCACACACGCACTTACGCACACACTCGCATATGCACGCATGTACACACACGTACATGCACGCTCCCTTGCACCTGCTGCGTGACGCCCTCGACGTAGGCCTAGCACCTCCTCCACGCTGAGCGCGTGCGGCGTGGGTGGAGACGGCGCCAGGGCTGCGATGCGCTTCAGCAGGTTCGCCAGGTCGGCCGACACGGTGCTCGTCTTGTAGCTGTCGAACTCGGGCAGCTGCTTGGGTTTGAAGTACTCGAACAGACAGCCGGCGTCGTCCCACTTCAGCTCCACCTGGTGCAAAGGGGGCCACACACGCATGGGCCGGTGGCACGCGATCCGAATCCAGCGAGGCCCCGCAGGTCAATACTGCGGATGTACTGACCATAAAATCCTAATATTTATTCACACTGAAGGAATCCGATGAGCTACAGTGAGGGAAAAAAGTATTTGATCCCCTGCTGATTTTGTACGTTTGCCCACTGACAAAGAGATTATCAGTCTATAATTTTAATGGTAGGTTTATTTGAACAGTGAGAGACAGAATAACAACAACAAAATCCAGAAAAACGCATGTCATAAATGTAATAAATTGATTTGCATTTTAATGAGGGAAATAAGTATTTGACCCCCTCTCAATCAGAAAGATTTATGGCTCCCAGGTGTCTTTTATACAGGCTACAAGACCATCGCCAAGCAGCTTGGTGAAAAGGTGACAACAGTTGGTGCGATCATTCGCAAACGGAAGAAACACAAAATAACTGTCAATCTCCCTCGGCCTGGGGCTCCATGCAAGATCTCACCTCGTGGAGTTGCAATGATCATGAGAACGGTGAGGAATCAGCCCAGAACTACACGGGAGGATCTTGTCAATGATCTCAAGGCAGCTGGGACCATAGTCATAAAAAAAACAGTTGGTAACACACTACGCCGTGAAGGACTGAAATCCTGCAGCGCCCGCAAGGTCCCCGTCTGAAGTTTGCCAATGAACATCTGAATGATTCAGAGGACAACTGGGTGAAAGTGTTGTGGTCAGATGAGACCAAAATGGAGCTCTTTGGCATCAACTCAACTCGCCGTGTTTGGAGGAGGAATGCTGCCTATGACCCCAAGAACACCATCCCCACCGTCAAACATGGAGGTGGAAACATTATGCTTTGGGGTGTTTTTCTGCTTAGGGGACAGGACAACTTCACCGCATTAAAGGAACGATGGATGGGGCCATGTACCATCAAATCTTGGGTGAGAACCTCCTTCCCTCAGCCAGGGCATTGAAAATGGGTCGTGGATGGGTATTCCAGCATGACAATGACCCAAAACACACGGCCAAGGCAACAAAGGAGTGGCTCAAGAAGAAGCACATTCAGGTCCTGGAGTGGCCTAGCCAGTCTCCATAACTTAATGCCATAGAAAATCTGTGGAGGGAGCTGAAGGTTCGAGTTGCCAAACGTCAGCCTCGAAACCTTAATGACTTGGAGAAGATCTGCAAAGAGGAGTGGGACAAAATCCCTCCTGAGATGTGTGCAAACCTGGTGGCCAACTACAAGAGACGTCCGACTTCTGTGATTGCCAATAAGGGTTTTGCCACCAAGTACTAAGTCTTGTTTTGCAGAGGGGTCAAATACTTATTTCCCTCATTAAAATGCAAATCAATTTCTAACATTTTTGACATGCGTTTTTCTGGATTTTGTTGTTGTTATTCTGTCTCTCACTGTTCAAATAAACCTACCATTAAAATTATAGACTGATCATTTCTTTGTCAGTGGGCAAACGTACAAAATCAGCAGGGGATCAAATACTTTTTTTCCCTCACTGTATGAAGCTCTTTTTCACAGATTTCCTAGAAGAGGGCGGGTCACAACGTTACAACAATACAAAAACACGACAGTTGTTTAAGTATAGGGAAAATAAACAAATCACTTAAAAAAAACTAATGAAACTAAACAATTTTTTATCTTACAGGAAAAAGCCCACTAAGCTAGTAACTTATATTTCAGAAGCAACCTGGCCAATAACCAAAGCTAAACAAAGTGGCTTATCATGCAGATATTTATAGCAACAAAATAATCGAAAAATACTGCATGCCATCTGCTTCACAGTGGACGCTAAAGATCCCATGAGCAGGCCACTGTATGCCAGTGTCACGGTCCCACATTTGACCAAATTTGAAAGATTACACCACAAATTGCTCAATTGGGGTTACACACAGCAACACCGCCCGCACTCTGACGCTGCCGTAGACTGTCAGTGAGACACAGCAGCGCCTTTCTTTGTTATAACCCTGTGGTATCACACCGTCGTGAATGTAAAATGATCTCAATCATTACAGTTATTATGATCACATCCACGTTATCATACGCGAATCAACAAATGATTGTTTGAAATGCATGATAAAACATTGAGATCAAATACTATGTTGTTTAATAGATGTGTAAGATGTTGTTCCATCGAAAGTTACGTTGATTAAAGCTAAAAAGGAGAGCTGACGTTATTTTGTTTAGTAACACATTTCTTGTTTGTCAGTCTTGCTGGGTTCATTGTGAATTGGTTGTTGTTTAATACGGTAGCTACTGATGCATGCACACGTACATACTGCTTGGTATATTCCTCAGGGAGGCTCCTGGCTGGTGTTGACCGTGAGCGGTAATTTAACTCAGGCTGCTGGGTTCGTAGCGCAGCGTAGCGCTAACTGCTCTACTCTCTCACACACGCAAAGACACAGGGAGCCACAGTCGCGAGCCAGTGCCCGGCGCACGCATCCTACCTGGTTCGACGTGTGCTCCTCCAAGTAGCGGGCTTTGCTCTTCTTGCTGGGATAGGCATGCAGGCAGTAGAAGCACTGCTCCAGCGCCGTGCCCAGCTCCTCGCGAAACGGGTGGGGGTCCTCCGCCTCGCCCTCGGCCTCGGCCAGCTCGCGCTGCAGCACTCGCACCTGCGCCACCACAGCCGGGAGGAGCGCCAGGGAGGTGACCCCCCACCCGTGTTTGTTGACGCGACCATGAGAATGATTTGTTTTTATTTGCGCGCCTTTCACACCTGGCCGTTCTCCGCCACGTCTCGTCTCAATCAACACGGGGACAGCTGCCACCGTCCCTGCGGACACGAGGCGACTTGGCGCCTGGCCTGCACACGGGCATCGGTCTGCCAGAATGGGGTGATGATTGCTATGTGTGCGTGGAATCCCAACTGAGTAATTAGCAAGTAATCTTGGACCGTGACGCCGGCACACAATGGCCTACTCATTGCGAATGACATCAGGGGATCTTTGACGTCCGCTCTGGAGCAGAACATCACCCGAAAAAAGAGCGATGTGTGTGAAGCACACAGCATCATTGTCTAAAGCCTCATGGAAGGATGCGACGTTAGTGGTAAACGTGTGGCAGGAGGCGAGTGATTGAAATCGCTAATGCTGAATAATAAAGCCAATGGCATTGATAACATTGACAGTGGCTTAATCTTCATGGCGAATTTTTCAGGTCCAATATAGTAAATAAAACATAATTTGATTGAAATGACAAAATATGCCTTTTTTCTACAGCCTGGCCGTACCCACAGCGATAAACATCAGGTAACTTTCAGCCAGCAGGCAGGCGGTACAGGTGGCCCCCTTCCGTGGTCATGTGACTGTTCAAGGACATGGACCTCCACAAGGATCGCTCTGATAAGTGGCTTCTTTGGAATGTTGTGTTCATCACCCTCGGAGCCACAGATCACGCAAGCAAAAGGGATTTTGTCACAGGTGTCAGCCTTCTGGATTGAGCCGAGTCCTGCGGAGGCGGTGCCATTGTCGGCAGAGAGCCTGCAGGGCGTGGACAAGCGACTGGTGGGCGCATTGAGCTGGAGTTAGTGGACGCAGGGGGAATGGTGTTAGGTGAGGGTGAGGTGAGGGTGAGGTGAGGGTGAGGTGAGGGTGAGGTGAGGGTGAGGTGAGGGTGAGGTGAGGGTGAGGTGAGGTGAGGGATCGTGCTGGTGAGAGACATGGTGAGGCAAGGGGTAGTGCTGTTGAAGAGGCTCACGTAGAACTTGAGGAGAGCGCCATCGGCGATGGTGCAGGCCGAGCGCCGGCCCAGCATCTCGTGCGCCGTGTTGAGCAGCATCACGGACGAGGGCAACATCTGCCTGATGTCCTCTTCGTCTTCGTCGTCCTCATCGTCCTCGTCGTCCTCGTCGTCTGGCAATCGGCAGTCACAAGGGCATAGGCTGCAGCCACGCGCGGGGGGAGCCCAATGCTGCCTCGGCGGACCCACCGCCCCAAGCCGCCACGCACCGTGAATGATCGTGGGGGTGTGAAGACGCCGCATTGGGCTCTGTGCAGAGCTGCCACGTGCCGACCACACCCAGTGCCAGATAACCCGACATTAAGGGTCATTAACCCTTTCTCGTTCTGGTGCACGTAATTGTACATATTCCATTTTCATTCCGGAACCAGAAGAACAAATAAAATAGCTTTATCGGTACCGAGGCTCCCACAAGGCCATGCGGGAGGGCATGTGGCACAGTTTGGCACCAGCTATCATAGAGTGTGGTCGTGTCAGTACAGTTCTCTGCGGTGAGTACAATGCCTTTAAAAACCGCAGTGCTACACCTCTCTAAATAAAATTAACGCTCAACTGCTTTCGTATTCCGAGATTCAGTGGTGAATGGGACCCCACCCTGCAACTTGCAGTCATCTAGGAACGGGAATGGTCCATGCGAACACCAAAGTCATGATAACATTTTTTTGCTGAAATGTTGAACAGTTTAAACGCATGTTAACATGGCACTAAACGGTTATAATAATGTGACATTTGAATAGTTCGTTAGTTACGGACACAACATGCATCTCTATCGCAGGATTCCGGGAGCCCCCACAACAGCAGGACCCGCGCGGGCGAGTGTGGGTTCATGCGTTGTAGCCGCGGCCACTTCACGGCTCCGACACTGTCATCCCTGCAAAGCTTGAGCACTCCGCGGCTCGCCTGCAACTCCGGCGCGTGCAGGAGCCGGGCACCACACCCTGTGAGTGCGGCCTGTGCAGCGACAGCATGGCTTACAGTGCTCCTGGCGTTCCGTGGTGGGGAGCGGTAGTGTAGCGGTAAGCGAGCTGCGCTACAAAGCCAGCGACCCGGATTTGATTCCCGCTCACGGCCAACACCAGTAACGATTACCTGAACCGGTGCTGGGCCTCCCCTAGGTCGACTCAGCCTATGCAATGTGTAAACGTTGGCACTGGGGAGACAAAGGCGATTGGGCGTAGTGCTGGCCACCCACCCCCGAGAGTGTCGTGCCGGTCTTCATAGGTGCTCACTAACAGCACATGCCCCAACAGCCTGTTAAGGCTACATGGGGGATCTTTGTGTTTGTAGTGTCCCATGGGTGCGCAAGAGAGCGGCGCGAATTTAATGCGTGCGCGGTGCTCATGCGGTGTTCATGCAACATTCATGCGGTGTTCATGCAATATTCATGCAATATTCATGCACTGTTCATGCATTATTCATGCGTGTTCACGCGGTGTTAATGCAGTGTTCATGCAGTGTTCATGCAGAGTTCATTAGGTGTTCAAGCAGTGTTCATGCACGCACCACGTACGCGCCGCGTGAGCGCGCGGCGTGGGCACAGGGCGTGGAATTGCTGCTCCTCGAGGCGGATGATGCGATAAAGCACGATCCACGGCAGCACGGGGTGCAGCCCCATCGAGGCGGCATGCGTAGCCGAAGACTCCCGGCCGTCCTCTAAGCTTGTGGAAATCTCGATCATCTACGGGTGCACGCGTGAATTCACAGGCACTTCGTCATCGCCGCAACCGTGGTCATGGACACCATCACTATCACTGCTATCATCGACACCAACAACAGCCATTGTCGCAGTACGATAGCCATCGACATCATGTGACCCAGGTCTCAACGGGTTCTCATCCGAAAAGCGACTACGACGTTAGAATCCTGTATGGAGCATTTTCATGCAGAAGGGAACTGTTGAACTTAAATCAAACACACGATATCACTAAAAAGATCATAGACAGGTGAGAATTGTATTTGCTGTCCTGGTCACCATATAATAGGCTGGAGTGTCACACACTCGATGAAAACCGAACGATTCGCCAACCTATCATCCAAAGCACAAAATGAGCGGCACGTGCCACACGGTTGTGACCGCGCGTGCACAACTTCATCGCCGGTTGTTGTTAAAGTCGCCCTCCGACTACCCGGTTCACGTAGACCACAAAGTGATGCAGCGAACGAGGAGTGGGAATGTAACATGAGGGAGGTCTCCGTTGAGTGCAGAGGTGACGCTCACCCACCGAGACTCTTTACCAACCACTTGCTGCACACCGAGTGGCTTGTGGAGCAGTAGCGAACAGAGAGCCGTGGCACACACGACAACACCAGCAGAAACAGAATACGCAGCAGCAAACAAGGAGCAGTGGCATGCACGACAACACCAGTCGCAGGGGAATACGCAACAGTAAACAGAGCAGCGACACGGACGACAACACCACTAATCGCAACAAAATATGCAGGAGTAAACACAGGGTAGTGGCACGCAAGACAATACCAGTCGCAACAGCAAAATGCACAGCTGCATCCGCAGCTTTAGCGCGGTTCACGAAGCCGGCGTTGACAACGCACAAGGTGCTCCGTTGTGCGGGGCGCGCGAGTCGCGCGCGCGTCGGGAGGCGCACCTGGATGAGGTTGGCCGCCAGCCGGCTCATGCAGGTGCCGTGACCCTGCAGCGCCGAGGACTCCTGCGAGAGGCAGCGGTCGATGCCGGCGAGGAGCTTGCCGAGCGCAGCACTCCACTCGGCGCCGCCCGCGCTGGCCGCCCGCGCCTGCGCCTGCTGCATCGCCTCGTGCAGCGCCAGCTCCGAGCACTCGAGGCAGCGGGCAAATTCCTCCAGCTTGAGCAGCGAGTTCTGTGCACACGGCGCAACCCGTTTGCCTCCCCTTAGGCCGGGGGCAAACCAGCGGCTCCAGAGCCGTGTGTAGCTCTTTGGCTGCCCGATTGTGGGCAGCCATAAAATATATATAATGAATTACTTTGTTCGGTTCTTTACACTCTGAAGTGTAGCACAGGCGGTGCCCGCTTATACGGCATTACGTGTTCCTGGAAACCCCGTCGTCGTAAATCGGATCGTCGTAAATCTGACACAATGTTGCCGTCTTGGTGACAAACAAAATGTCCGGCCAAGCTATAGAATAGCTCAGGGGAAAAAAAACAATAACTCAGGGGGAATAAAACTAAATAGACGCGTGTAACATCACCGCCATTTGACCCGCTGTCGAGTGGTGGTGATGACGTCGCGACGCTTGCACCAGGCTAGGTACATTTGGAGTGTTACAGTCGAGGTTACAAAAACGAACAGTATCATCACTGATTCAGCTTCATTAATTGAACAGACCAAACGGTTTTCCTTAAACCTTCTACTGCTAGTAGGCCTCGGCAAGGTAAGGTAAATTACCTTTATTACCGGGTAAAAGGGTAAAGGTAAAGGTTCGACATGCCAAGGGGTAAGGTAAAGGGTAGGGTAAAGGTAGCTCAGAAGAATTACCCGGTAGGGTAAAGGTAGCGCAAATAATTACCCGGTAAATACAGTACCTTGTTTACCGCTAAAAGTTCTGTGGCGCAGTCCGTGGCCTCCATTTTAAAGTGATGTCGGACCAGATGGAGACGATCCACGTTCTTGAGGTCAAGGTACAGTGATACCTCGGTTCACGAACTTAATTCATGAACTGACTCTGGTCGCGAACCGAATTGGTCGTGAACCGAGGCACATTTTCCCATAGGGTTCAATGTAAATCCGGTTAATCCGTTCTGACCTTTTTTTTGGTTTTTGAAGCACAAAAATATGAAACAAATTACAATACACATTAGTACTGTACAGTATAGTAATGTATAAAGAGAGAACACTAACCTTGCTTGAGATGACTTCAGTAAGCACTCAAACAGGTGAACTGTACAATACAGTAAGTACAGTATTGTACAGTACAGTAGTACAGTACAGTAGTGTATGTGCTAAAAAGCACTCCAAAAAGCAAAAAGTCACTGAAAGTGTCTTCACAATACTCACAGTACTTCTTTCTGTGTATCTTCTTCTCTCCACGCTCTTCCTACAGGAAGTCACGACCATGTGACAGCCTGGAAATAGCATTAAAATGGCCGCGGCTCCTGTTCGTGAACCGAAGCGGAGTTCGTGAACCGGAGCATATTTTTATGAACTTTTCTGTTCGTGAACCGAGTTGTTCATGAACAGAAGCGTTCGTGAACCGAGGTATCACTGTACTAGAGGACGAGGATGCCATCAACAGCATTTTTGGGGTTGCTGCGAACAGCAATCGAAAGAGGCAGTGGTATGCGTTCCCGTGGGAACACACACACGATTGGATGGAGGGTGATCCGCATGCACAGCAAGGTGGTTTTCCACCCACACGAACGTGTCGGGGTGGAAAGCCCACCTCAAGAAACACAACGTGCTCGCCCCAGGCAGCGAGGTCGGGACGTCGGCATCGGCGAGCCGCCTAATACAGCAAACGCTGAGCCGGCCAGCAATCCCGGATCGCCTCCTGGTAAAGTTTGAGAACGCGGTGGTGGATTTTGTTATCCAAGGTGCAATCTCTTTGCGAGCCGCCGGCAGCGACAAGTTCAAGACCTTGGTCAACACATTGACGCAGGGATACGAGGGCCCATCGACCCACACCATCATTCGCAGGATTGTCGAGCATCACGCCATCATGCTGCCCATCGTCGGGGCGTTCTGCTCCAACCTGGACGTCGCCATCTCGCTCACCATCGACAGGTGGTCGAACCGCAACCTTAAGGGATTTTGGATGGTCACGGTGCACTGGATCGACACCAAATCTGGTGCGTCAAAATCCATGCTGCTGACAATCCTCGATGTGCAGTCCGGAAGGGGTGTCGGCAAGCGCATTGGGGCCGCTCTGTTTGGGCACCTCCAAAGCCTCGGGCACAATATCTCGACCAAGCTGCTCGCTGTCACCAGCGACAATGGCTCCGATGTGAACAGTGCTGTCAAGACGTTGTTCGCCCTGGTCAACGTGGACGCCGGACATGAGCAGTTGCGGGCTTGCCACCATATTCGATGTGCGGATCATTCCGTCCAGATCGGTGTCGTCCAAGTTCTAAAACTGATCAAGTCAACAAATGCCGAACTGCGCAAGGCGCTCGTCAATATCAGGTGCAGCAAGGTCGTCCGGCAGTCATACCGCCGCGAGGCTGAGATCGCCAAGCTCGCCAGCAAGAAGCCGACGCACCAGGACTCGCCGACCAGGTGGCATTCGACGTTTGAGATGGGCGACGACGCCATCAAGAAGCGTGTCCCATTCGACATTATCATGGCGCGCTTCCAGGATGTGATCGGTGTCGGTGCTTTATCTGAACTGCAGTGGGCAAACATCGAGGGCGTGACAGCATTCCTGCGAATGCCGCGCCAGGTCATGACCTCGTTGTCGGCGGACCACAAGTCGACATTGGATCTCGTGCCGGTGACGATGGAGCACCTCGTCCGTCATTACGATCACGGTGAAGCCGCCCTGAGAGTGATCGATGAGCCCTTGATGGAGGAGGCGCTGCTTCACCTCGCAGAGCTGCTCTGCGCCACCGCCTCCCTCCAGGGCGAGACGCGGCGCTTGCCCGAGCCCGCCGTCGCCGCCGCCATAAACATGGTGGACGCCACCGCCGTTCCCGCTATGGGGTATGCTTCCGGGTGTGTCGTCACTTCTGCCGAGGGAGCAATGACCGCTGGGAGTAACGTCACTTCCAGGCCCAGCGTGGTCCAACCAAACAACGCCGCGTCATCAGCGCTGCGACCTTCACCGCCGGACGACAGCTGGCTTCAACTTACCATACCGCGTCATCAGCGCTGCGACCGGACAGTGAGGGCGCCATTCTTACTGTAACCGGCGCCGGGGCCGGCACATCGACCGACACGCTGGTCGTCGCCTTTGCTGCTCTGGCCAAAGGTTGGAGGTCGGGAGACCAGGCCCCTGACACTTCGTCCATTTACGCGCTCCGGATTAATGATTTTTGTTGACATTTTCTTCGTTGTCGTCGGGGAGTCGTGATTGTTGTTGGGTGAACTGTATGGAGTTTCGCTCGTGAGTGTTGTCAATGTGTGTGCGAAACTTTGCTTGTGATTGTTAACAATGTATGGTTTGTATTGAGCTTTGTTCGTGATTGTTAATGTATAGCTTGTGCTGTCATTGTTAACGATGTATAGACTGTATGGGGCATTTATCTTGAGATGGTAACATGCTGCCAAGGATTTGGAATTGTCATGCTGGCTCTCAAATATCTTGGGGTGCAGATCCTGACCAGGATGGCCCAGCGGGTGTTGCGTGTCTAACACGAGAGTTGTGGTCCCGTCATGCTATGGCTGACGGCTTGACCTGACAGCCCGGAGATTGAAACACTCCGTGGCATGTCTAGCCTAGTGGCCTGTGCGCTCACATGGCTCGGAGAGTGTGGTCCCGTCATGGAATAGCTGACGGCTTGACCTGACGGCCTGGAGGTTGAGACCCTCCGTGGTGTGTCTGGAGCAGTAGGCTCGCCCTGACGGCCCGGAGATTGAAACACTCCGAGGCGCGTTGAAACAGTGGGCTGGAGATTCGTGGTGTTCAGGTGTAGTTGTCCCGTTATGTTGGGACTGTATCCCTCAGTTGTTAGGGTGCATGTTGTGCAGGGAGTGAACGATGGGTCGTCTCAGCTCGGTCGGTACAGCTATATGCTGCGATGCGAGTCTTGGAGAGAGACTGGGTCTCAGCTCGGTCGGTACAGCTATATGCTGCGATGCGAGTCTTGGAGAGAGACTGGGTCTCAGCTCGGTCGGTACAGCTATATGCTGCGATGCGAGTCTTGGAGAGAGACTGGGTCTCAGCTCGGTCGGTACAGCTATATGCTGCGATGCGAGTCTTGGAGAGAGACTGGGTCTCAGCTCGGTCGGTACAGCTATATGCTGCGATGCGAGTCTTGGAGAGAGACTGGGTCTCAGCTCGTTCGGTACAGCTATATGCTGCAATGCGAGTCTTGGAGAGAGACTGGGTTGAAGTCCCCCCCCGATATGGCCGATGCGTGCTACTGGTTGTGACGCCGCATCGGAAAGGCGGTGGGGTGGTAACATGGAAATTCCCCCCCGATATGGCCGACGTGCGCGGTTTTAGGATGGAGACGCCACGTTGGAAAGGCGGGGGGTGCTAACGGTTGACATGTAATGTCGGTGGTGGTTGAGGGCTGCTGGGACGCAAGCACGGGATGCCTTGGAGATGCGGTTCGCACTTGCGCCCACCATTTATGGACAGGAGCAGGCAGATTTATTTTGTTTGTGTCATGTCAATTTATATATATATTTTAAAATGTAGATACTGGAGCAGCCCTGAAGTGCGACTTCTTTGCCCAGTACATGGGTCGGCCCTGAAGTACGACTTCTCGACCCGGGACGTAGACAGACATCCGGATTAAGTGTGTGTAGAGGGATGCTCGACATGTTGGTCTTCGCCTTCTCTCCACCTGACGGATGGGAGGCTGGCAGGGTGGTGTGGAACCCTGCCATCCATGCGGTGGTTGTGCATCCAACGCGTCGGAATCTGTATATTTGTTGTTGTTAATTCCCCGTTTTCTATGCGGATCCCGAGGAGGGCTAGGGGTGCCGCGGGTCGTTTGTTCACGTGTCATTGCTTCACCTTTTTGTTGATTGATGCTTGTATATAGTGTAAAGTTGTACAGGTTGGTTATGGTATTTATGGTTGCTTTCTTGTTCTCTTTTCTTTTCCTGTTGAGGCTCGCGTGTTTTTTTCTCTCTCTCCCTTTCGTTAATTTAAACTTTCTAATTATTGACAGCCGGGACGGCTGGAGGCTGCATAGAGGGTAATGTAGTGACATAAGGGAGAGGCTGCTGGGGGCTCTGGGACCCTGGGCAGGCCAGGCGCTTGGGCCCCTTGGCGCCAGGCGCTGGGTTCCCAGGCGGGTCAGACGCTTAAGCCTCTTGGCGCCAGGCGTTGGGTTCCCTGGCGCTTAAGCCCCTTGGCGCCGCCAAAGGGGGGGGGCTGTGTGTGCTCTGTGGGATATCTGGGGGCGCACACGGCCCCACCCCTCGTTGGGGACTAGGCATAAAAGGGGAGCTCCCTGGACGATCAGGGCCAGTTGTAGCTCAAGACCCAAGACCAGCCATCTGAGGACCCTGGGATGCTGTGAGAGCGAGTGGTGGGACTCTGGAACTCCCGGCTCTACGTCCTTGTGAGGGCGAGTTCCAGAGCGTAGCCGGAGTAGTGTATCTAGGCTGTGTAACTAGGCTGTGTACCTAGGCTGTAACAGAGTAGTTGGACTGTTGGACTGTTGGAGTGTTGGAGTGTTGGATCGTAATAAAGAAGTTACCTCTACAAGTGTCTCCGGAACCCGTTACATTCAGCAATGCACCAAATCCTGGAAGATAACGTCACTCAACTAAACTGGCGTACAACTGTACACCAGTTTCACCCTTGTTAGGCATTATCAATACAGTACAGCCATCATTGCCTCCTGCCGCGTCGTGCCTCAACAGCTCGATGTGGACAAGGTTTGCCAACGCGTCAGGACAATGACACAATTCTAACGCTCAGTGTAAACTCGTCGGACAGAAACGTGCGTCGCCATCGTCAAAACGCCGCGGCTTCGTCTCCACGAGGGGAGGCCGTCTGGTGGCGGGCGAAGTGCGGTGCGAGAGGCGCAACGCTAACAGCACCTGCAGCAGCAGCAGCTGAACGGGCCTCTCGGGGAGGGCGGGTCGCCGCTGCCCGTCCTGGCATGGCGCTACCATCGCAGCCGCCGCAGCAGTGCCGCCACCGGTCCCCTGGCCGGCCGTCGTGGCCGCAGCCACAGCGCCCTCCGTGAGCGTGGGGCGCAGCAGGCGTGCCACCTGGGCGTACTCCCCACGCTTGAACAGCCGCTGCACCTCCTCCAGCGACTGGCACCGCTCCAGGGACTTCATCTTCTGCTCCACCTGCATGCAGGGGTGGCGACGAGTATTCATGTCGCCGGCGGCTCGCACTCCAGGTGCACGTTTATACACGTTTGCATGTTTGGTATTTTTTTTTACACAGTTGCTGAGCACAGGGGGCCAGTTTTCCCAACATTTCAAACGGCCAGCAACAAATATCACTGTCAAAGGTATAACGTGTTTCTTGAATTGAGCGAGGTGATTGTTATTGGGAACAGATGATGGGAGGGAATTCCAAAGTGGAGCAGTGTGAGGAAAGAAGCAGAAAAATAAGTGTTTTGACCTGCAGTGTGGTGTGTGAGTTTGTGAATGGGTGAGTGTGTGAGTGGGTGGGTGAGTGTGTGAGTGTTTGAATAGGTGAGTGTGCGAGTGTGTGAGTGGGTAGGTGAGTGGACGTGTGAGTGAGTGAGTGTGTGAGTGAGTGTGTGAGTGGGTGAGTGTATGAGTGTGTGAGTGAGTGGGTGAGTGTGTGAGTGAGTAGGTGAGTGAGTGAGTAGGTGAGTGAGTGAGTGTGTGAGTGAGTGGGTGAGTGAGTGGGTGGGTGAGTCATTGTGACCAACAGTACAACGGTTGGGCACAGTGTGGATGAGATGAAACAGTCAATGTAAGAGACCATGTGGCTTAATAACAGGGCTGTGTGCATTGCATAATAATGTGTTGTTTTATCACCTTGCATTTCATTTGCTTTTTTAAAATATCCTAGACCTACAACTTCTAGGAATGTAAAACATGTCACACCCAAAGTTAAATAAGTTAGCGATTTAAGCAGAGGTGATAGGTGGGGTAAACAAAATAATGACAATAGATGACGCATTGCCCTCGTACCTTTTCTAAACTATATTGCAATTGTGTTATTTTTATTACCCTTTTTTACCCAGTAATGCATCGTCGAGCCTCAAAGGGTCCTGCATAGTTTCTCGCAGTAGGGGGGCGATGTTGCTGCTCCTGCTGCTGCGTATGATCCCAATCTGGTGAGTTACAGATAACTACACAAATTGGGAAATTTCGACCATGACATTGGCACGCTATGGCCTACTCTTTTTGAATGCCGTCACGAGACCTTTAACTTCCACTGTGATGTGGACGGTGCGTACCGGTCGATACACCCCCAGTATTAATGAGGTGTATCCCGCCGGATTTCAAAAACCGTGAACCTCTGCAACAAGGGTGAAACGCGGGGCCACTGGGCCGTGTCACCATCTCCAGTAACGCCCGTGGTGTTCACCCCCTTCGTGTTCACCCCCTTAGTGTTCACCCCCCGTGCGTTCACCCCCCGTGCGTTCACCCCCCGTGCGTTCACTCCCTTGCCGTCATCCCCTTGCCTTAACCCCCATGCGTTCACGCCCACGCGTTCACCCCCCCCGTGCGTTCACCCCCCCCCGTGCGTTCACCACCCATGCGTTAACCACCCATGCGTTCACCCCCTTGCGTTCACCCCCTTGCATTCACCCTCTTGCGTTCATCCCCGTGCGTTCACCCCCCGTGTGTTCACCCCCCGTGTGTTCACTCCCTGTGTTCACACCCGTGCGCCCATGTGACCCGGTGCTTCTGGCAGCAGCAATCCGCACCTGCGCGAGGGAGACGGTTGAGTCCAGAGCGAGGTTGGGCATGTGCACCACCACCGCTGCCACGGCACCACTCGGCCTCTCGCCGGCCTCTGCTGCGCCCCCCTCTGTCTCCATGGCGATGTCGCCGCCGCCGCCCACGTGCTCCTTCAGTGCCTCCAAGCAGAGGTCGAGGCAGTCCAGGGCCTCGTCAGCCTCACCCTGGCACGGGAAACAGCGAACCGTTGACGTCCAAAGCAGCCGCAGTGTGCACGGCAGCCCCACCAGCACGGCGTTCGCAAGGCAATGCCAAGTCCAACGGGGAGAGACCATCAACGCATGCGGGTCCGTGCATGCACGTTCAAATGTTCCAAGGGGGATCGATCGTTCCTTTACCGAGCTTCTCTTCAAGTGAGCGGGCACTCATCCGTGAGTGAAATCGCTTCATTTAAGCCTCGTTTGTCCAACGCTGTGCTCCTTGACAGATCAAATGAGACCGTGCTGTGTTGTGTCTATATGCGTACGCCAAGCAGAAGAATTAACTGAGGTAACATTGATTGTAAAACGTTCATAACCTCACCCAAAATAAATTAACCTCAAATGTTTGCGTAAGCACTCACATTGGTATCTTCAATCCACCGATGGCAAATAAAGAATCAAACATTAACTTTGCGTGGTAAAAAACCGTGACCACGTGTGCTTCCGGCGACCTTCTTCAGATGGAAGATTTTGTTTTTGAATCTAAGCTAACAGGGCTTCAACTCATCACATACAGGTATGAACGTCATGCCAACCAATGTGTGCGAGTCTAAAGTAGTCCGATACTGTGAATATTGATTATATCAGTGCCAGTGTGGACTTAACAAGACCACGGTAAAATAACCAACTCTACACATATGTAGCAAAGACAAATAATGATCCCCCGTGTAGCCTTTTATAAACTGTTGGGGTAATTGCTGTTATGGCACACGAAGGGGTGGGTGGCAAGCACAACCAGTCGCCTTTGTCTAACCAGTGCCAGTGTTTATACACCGCACTTGGTACTCATATGAGGCCTAGTCGGCCTAGGGGAGGTTCTTGAACCGGCTTAGATACACATCACTGACGTTGGCCTTGAGTGGGGAATCAAGCTCGGGTCGCCGGGTTCGAGGCAAAGCATGCTGACCGCTGGTGCTAGGCACGCCTGGTGAATGAATTCATATTCCCGGCGAGCGACCGGAGAGCGACCAGAACAGCGGGGTTGGAGGGGGCACACGGGGCAGGCGGAGAGCGATGCGGCTCCTACCAGCAATACGTAGAAGCGAGTGCGTAGCCAGTTCACGCGCAAGTAGAACGCCAGCCAGTCTGCCCCAAACACGTCGCGCTGCGATGACGACAAAACGAGGTGGAAGAGGTCCTGCTCGTAAAAGCGGCCGGGGAAATCTGGCCCCAGCTGCACTCTGCGCGCTGTCACTGCGAGGGAAAAAAAAAACATCAAACTGATCAATGCATCGGGTGGCAGCGGCCCAGTTGCAGAAGTTTGCGGCATGAATATATGGCATACCTCCCTGGTTATTACTGCAGGTGCGTTCACGGTAAAGTACTACGCACCGTCTGTTTCGCGGCGGTTGTTATCAAGATGCCCTGGTGTTTTTTTTTAAGAATCGGTCATTGCATTCCGGCGTCATGGTCCATATATATCCTTGCCTAAATGACCATTATTTATTGTAATCACGACTTACAGGAAATACGACATCATCGATGAATGAAAACAACCGTGGCTCGCACAAGGCCCAGGTAATGGACGTGTCACGTGTGTTTGTGTGTGTGTGGGAAGTGGTAGGCGTAGTGGTCGGCACGCTGCGCTACGAATCCGGCGTCGCAAGTTTAATTCCCACTCACAGCCAACACCAGTGATGATTAACTGAACTGGTTCAGAGCCTCAAATGAGGACCTAGTGCGGTGTGTAAACAGTCTGTTAAAAGCTATCCGAGGAATCTTTGTCTTTGCTGGAGCATACGCAGTCCACACACACCAGCGTTTCCTGTGCGTAGCCAGACCGAGCCGTGGGCATGCTCCTTGCAAACGATGCCATTTTCGTGCATTGCAAACCCATGCATATTCAAAATTAAGATTCAGTTAAAACTAGACGCACCGTACTTCTACCAAACTTATAGCACAAGCTTGAGTAAAATAGGCTCGGGTGATTTTTCTGCCGGTATGGCGTTCACTCTTGTTCAAAAGACACGGCCGGGTGAACGAGTTCCTCCCGCGCAAACCCGGGGCAAGGCGGTGGTGGCGCTCGCCTGTGATCCCGCCCTGTGGAGGCAGCTGCGAAGGTTGGTGGATCACTGCACAAAAGTTGTGATACTTCCTTATATGCGTGCATGTATGTTGAACTTCTTTCGCACAGTACATAGCCGACTGTGCTAATCGGAGGTGCGGGCATCGAGGTGCCGTACCCTGGCTCACGAAAAGAAGGCAGTACAGCAAGCAGACTAATCTCCATCTATTTGGTATCTACTTGTTGTCTGAACATCTTAATACCTGTTTTATTGATACTGGCAAAAAGGTCCCATAGATGTAATGTTCATCTGTTTTCATCTGCGAGGGGACACAGTGTTGCCCCCTTGCGCGCGTAGGTTGTCTCCGAGTGCTCCGGTTTCCTCCCACATGCATAATAAACACAACTCGTAATTCATTAGCTCAAGAGGGAAATAAGTAATTAAATCCATGGGAAAATAAAACCCTTGCTATTCATATTATTAGAACTCTGACATCCTACAAATCAATTAATGCTTGTCACCTGATTTCAATGTTGGCCACCGGACAGAAAAAAAAACACTTTGGAATTAAATATACATTAATATTCACGATTACGGTAAACCCACACACAGCCAACCCCGGCAACCCTAAACTACTCATGCATGAAAGGAGATGAGTGGGGGGGGGGGGATGAAGACGAGGAGGTTTAGCCCAGAGGAAGGCAGGTTCACACAAATCCTTCTTGGGCAACTTCGGGAACGTGAAGTCGTATGCGCCGCTATCGGAGAGGATTCGGCCGCACACACCTACGGCAGAACTCATGATATTGCCCCAAGCCTACCGGGGAACACAAGTGTGTACCAGCACACCAGGCTGGCTGCCCGTCTCTACATTTCTAAGTGGTAAAGTCAAGACAACGGGTGGAAGACGGTGACCCTTTTTTTGCGGTGGGCCCCCCACTTTAAGTGTTTTTCACGTCACCTTAAACAACCGATACCATCGGCTAGGCAAAGCCGATGCGCACGTGAGAGACACAAACTGCAGCAGTGCGATTGTGGCCATGCAGCGCAAACTATGGACTGTACAGTACCACTGAGGTCTGAGCTCCTTCAATGGAGGAGGAACAGCAAAACTACACGAACTCTTTCTCTCTCCTCAAGCCCGCTTATCGTGGGCGTTTTGTGTTGTCCTCCCCCGCACCTCCAATCAGCACGGTTGGCTACGTAGGGTGCGAAAGAAGTTCAACATACACATGTACATCGTGGCGAGCAGCAGACCTCAACATTGTCATCGAGCTCCTGCACCACATTGCCATCATGCGCAGCTGTAAAATCACCATGGCAAATGTACACCGCTTTTCCCTTCATCAGGAATTCCACAATATTGCATTACATAGTGATGTATCCTCAGTATATTATGTCATAAACGGCACTAGAAACTGTAAAGCCACCAAAACATGGAAAATAGTGCAGCCAGAAAGCTTGATGTCGCAGGAGAGGACAATCTCTCCTCCAAAAAAGAGTTTCCCACATGGGCCAACATAAGAGATAAGCAGAGGAGGAAGGCCTCGCGTAAGGAATGTTAATGTGCCATTTCATTGAGGGACAACTGCTTTGCGGTGTTATCCTGGTGTGGTCTGGGACTGTTTTGGTGTCGTTTTTGCTGCCTTGCCCAAGCTTGATAAATCGGGACTTATATAACTTTATTCATTTTTCATTTATTTATATTCAGTGACTTTTCGATTTAAAGCTTTCGTGACTGCAGGGATTCATCTTCTTGGTACTTTCGGTAAAGTCACGTAGAAGGGAAGTAATAAAATAATTGTTTTATTATGTTTTATTTTTATTATTTTATTACTTCCCTTCTACGTGACTTTACCGAAAGAACCAAGAAGATTCAGTGACTTGCTTACCTTTTTCTCTATTTTGCACTCCTATCGCGTTTTTTTTTCGTTTACTCGCTGACCCCGCGCCCATACTGGACATCTGTGAAAAAAGAGCTTCCAAGCTCATCAGATTCCTCCCTCCTGTAGTCTGAATAAAGATTCTGATTCTGAAGGAATGGGTATACGGCTGCTTCCAGACACGGCTCCTTCGAGACACGGGTGCTTCGTGCCTACAATTTTGAGGGCAGAGGAATGGCTTGCTTCAATGTGATTCAAGGAATTGATTTATAGAATATGATTGAGATGCTTGATTCCGTTCTGTGTAAATGAAAACAATTACCAGAATCAAAAAGGGCTGCACAGTGTTAGACAGGTTTATACATAAACACATTCAGTCTTGGACCGATGTATTACACACACATGTTCATTGTTATATAAGTACACACATACAACAATAATTCTTATATAACAATAAAAATTGTTATATAACAATAACAATTGTTATATAACAATAAAAATTGTTATATAACACAGTCTCATAAACGCACACACACAATCAATGTTATATAACATAGACAAAGGTCCCCCATATAGCCTTAACAGGCTGTTGGGGAAAGTTCTGTTAGCGAACATCTATGAAGGCTGGCATAGGACACAAGGGGGTAGGGTGGCCAGCACCACGTCCAGCCGCCTTTGTCTCCCTAGTCGTAATATTTACACACGGCACCCGGTTCTCATTTTAGGCTGAGTCAACCTAGGGGAGGCCCAGGATTAGTTCAGATAATCGTCGCTGGTGTTGGCCGGAAGTGGGAATCGAACTCGTGTTGCTGGGTTCGAAGCGCAGCACGCTAACCGCTACACTACCACTCCCCAAAGGACACACATGCGCATGTTCAGTGCTACACACCCTCTCGTCCAGTGGTTCTTAACCTTTACTGCAGCCTTGCACCCCTTTGGTTCTCAATCGTAAAAACAATTATGTTAATAAGTACATAGGTTTAATGAAACAAAGCAGTTGTACTTCCGTGTCCGTGCTTAATTTGTGTTTCAATGATTTATCTTCTAAAAAAATCTGGCCATGTCTCACACCCCAAGAAAGGGCATCTCACACCCCAGGGGGTGCGTGCACTCTGGGTTAAGAACCACTACTCTCGTCCAGGAATCCTAAAAAGTCAGGTGATCTAATATTCTTCTCCTTTATCTACGGAACTCCAAGGGGTTGTTAGATTATGATTTGCATTATGAGTAATTATGTCTCTCAAGTCTGTGAAACCACCAAGCTGACTGTGCTGCATTCCCTTACCTATTGTGTGCATGACACCTGCTTCTATTCTAATAGGAGATTGAAAACTAATTTCTTTCGAACTGCATTTTTGTGTTTAGTTTGTTGTCCTTCCCCTGCACATCCAATTAGAGTGCGAAAGAAGTTCAACATACATACACACATTCTGTAAATAAGGTGTGTTTTTTTTGGCTATGGGAGGAAAACTGGAGAACACTCAGGAAACACGTGTAAAACAGGGGGAGAGAGAAGATACAAACTCCACGCAAAAAGGTACCCGAGTCGGAAATGATCCCAGGTTCTCTTTGCTGCGAGGCACAATTGTTACTACTGCACCACCCTGGTTAAACATAGTAACATTAAAACAGTTTGTTGTTTCAACGTCGCAAAGTTAAATAATCACATCCGATCCCAGCTTTACACAGCTAGGAGACCCGTGCCTCTTCCAAGTCGATCACTCTACGGTGGCAGGTGCTGCAACACAAGCATCAAGGAGACACCGCGCTCAGACGAAAAAAAACTATTCTCAGAGCCTTGCAGAGAAGGAAAGACACGAGTGTTCGGTCTCCATTCGCCCACACGTGTGTGTGTGTGCGGACGGAGTAGCAAGTCACGAGCTTCCCCTATAATCCGATATTTTATCACGAACTGATGGGTTCACATGAAACATTCTCGCGGATTACAGGATTTGTGGAGTAGTTCTTTGCAGCGCAAAAAGCCTACAAGAACGCGTCAACCGTGAAGCAAATACTGACAGCACAATGGGCCATGGTAAGATTCCAGGGATAGAATTCGAGGGATGTAAATTCCATACTCCTACGGAGGGGGGCCAGACTCTCCATAAGGCAAGGATGTTATATGACGGTCACATCATCATACAATCTCCCTCAATACCTCACAGCAGTAAGTGCACCACTACTGACTCGATGATTAGCAATGTCTCCTATATTTAACTGTACCTCCACATATCAAATAAAAGTATTTCCTACTACACCCATTGGCTCCACGGCCTTCCGAAATTGCATCATTTCAGCAGCATTGACACAATACAAGCAAACTCTGAAGCGGTTTTGACATTATAGAGTAAAATCTAAACTATTATTTTAACTGAAGGTGTTTTTTTACCGGGTAAGGGCCATTGAGCTGTGTAGCTCTTTTTCAGAAGTCACCTGACCACAAATGATAGCTCAACGAAATGGCTTATCACGTGCAAATTTGTAGCAGCCAAATATTCTAAACACACGTTTCTATATACGGATGGAAAAACTTGAGGACCCAGAGAAATATCCACGGGACCACGGGGAGAGAGACAAGCAAACTCCAAATATACAGGCATCAGGGTCGGGATTGAACCTCGCCTGCATACCAGGCGAGAGAGATAAAATCTCGCCACTGAGGTGCCCCACATTCAGTGCCTCACTGCCCACTAGGGCTGCCACCTGTCCTGGTTGTTCCCCAGGATTGTCCTCTTATTGAGGCAGCTGCTGTACTGGGAAATCCACGAATCTCCCGGGATGTAAAAAGTCTCCGTTTGTGCGAGTTGTGTAAAGATGCACCGCTCCAGATGATGCGTTTACACGTAGTCCTCCCCTTATTCCGGAAAACCGTGGGATATTTTTCTTCTCATGGTCTGTATGGCCTGGTATTTTTTTTTTGTACCTCAGAGGTGGCAACCCTGCTGCCCGGACCAGAAGCACGAAGTGCTGTGGTGCACGACACGCACGTCCGTTGCAAAAACAATTCCAGAATTGTTTTAAATAAATAAATAAACACATTATAACACATTGGCTTTCGCTAACAATATAATACATAAGAGCTTTTTGGGTTAGATCGCGTAAACATGAATGTGTCGTTACCCACTGTAATTTATATGCATTCATTAACCCCCCCCACCCCCAGGCCTTTGCACCTGATTGGCTCATAAGTGACATCATCACATCTATACCTCTATTTAAGAACGAAACAGGAGGATTTCTCTACAATTCTGGTTATCACCTGATGATGCTGGTTTTAGTTACTGGTGAAACATCGTGCTCAGATTGTAAATGATGTGGGTTTACTCTCCGACACACCGGTGTTCTGTACTAGTAACGAATTGGCAAGCTCTGTTTACATGACAAACCTTACTAATTGGCTGTGTCGGGTGGTGGCGGTTTTAACGACACATTTATATTTACGTGATCTAACCCTCTATTGTGGCAAACATATATAATTTTTTATTTAATATAACGCAAATTTTACATCACGCGGTGTTCATCAGGAACGCAACCACTACCGCCTTATAAGAGAAGAGGCAGTATTTACCAGACAATATTCATTGAATGTGTTTAGATTAAAATAAGGGGGTGTTAAATAGCTTAAAGTCTCTGAATGGCCCAACCATGAAAATCAGTGTCTATATCAGCCTCTGGCCATGAGCTCACCTGCTGTGCCAGCTGTGGACTGGGCCTGGCACGTTACAAGCCACTGGTCCAGCTGCAGTTCGTGACACACGAGACAACATGTCATCACCTCCTGGGGACGGCACAGGTCGCAGGCACATCATGAGCAGGGCTACCATCACTACAATGAGCATCGACCTCACTCCACATCATCAGCAGGGCCACCACCACATCACCCAGCATCACTCTTGCGGTACATCATCGGTAGGAACACCACTAACTACCACAACATACTGAGCATTGCTCTCAATACACATCATGAGGGCCACCACCGTCATAACATTAAGCATCGCTCTCACTGCACATCATCAGTAGGGCCACCACGACATGCACGTTATCTAATATGAACATCTCGTCGTACTAACCAAAGTCATGTCACCTAATACCATGCGATGGCACTTTTGGCAGGAACAGCTCGGAAGTGGCGTCTCTCTAAGTGACGCTCTTTCCTGTGGCGTCGTTCTCTCCGATCAACCCAAAACTGCAAAGACTTTTTCGGGACATCCAAAATTTCACACAAATCTTTGGGATTTTTCATATTCAACTAAACATGGGAAACACGTGCTGAGCACAGTTGCCCAATGTCTCCATTACGTGGTCATTAAAGTTTTATATTCAGTCCTGCCAGAGTCGGCACACGTTCCAAACACTGTCGTCAGCTCACAGAAAATGTCACGTGCATTTTTGCAAACGATAAAAGCAATGTTCCATCCTTCAGCTCTTCGTTTTGTTAATATTTTTATACAAATCAGACTCCACAGAAATTTAATTTAACCTTGCTCCTGTTATTAAGATGTGTTGATTGTGCACCGAGTTGTAGAGCCTTCCGTCCAACACAATACTCAGTCTCATCACAGCCTAAACGGTGGAGCATCAGTATGGCCAACAACGCCCCAACATCTCGTTCTGTGATTAGATAACCTGTGCGGTGTCCCTGCCAAATAAAATACGCCGTCGATAACAATCTCCCGTCGCCCGCGTCTGGAAATCCAGACGCATAAATAATGTGGCGGGGAACGGGGGGTTGCGTAAACTGCGGTGCCGCCACTCCCTCGCTCGCGGGGAAACGGAGCCAAGTGGTGCCAGCGAAGAGCACGGGCGTGCAAACCCTAATGCAACGTGCAGACACAGACAGACAAACACGCAGGCCCTCCAACTGAATCATCTTGTGATTACTACTAGTAGGACTTCCACCACATTTGTATACACAGGAAAGCCTCACTGAGTCTCAAGACTCTTGTTTAGGACGGTCCCGCCGAGTTTTTTTTACAGTCGGGGCAGATGTTGCCGCCGTGTGTAGTCCCAATTGAGTAATTTGCAGGAAAGTATTCAGCATTGGGATGTTTGGCCAATATCAGTTACACTGTGGGGTATTTTTTTGTGCTATTGGAAGAAACTGGGGAACCCAGAGGAAAACAATGCAGAACTGGAGGACATTCAAACTGCACACGGTTAGATATGGAACTCAGGCCCTTCTTGCCGCAAGGTGCAAGTGTTACCACAGCACCTCCGACCTGTCTCCCAAATGATTATGCTTCATTAAAGTCACATCTTATATTGTACATGCGGAACATTAGTTTACTCTGTCACGAAGATGTGGTAAATGTTCTAGTTTTTATTTTACCTGGTAAGGCCCACTTTTCCCTGTGTTCTATTAAACTATACAACGAAACAATGTTTTTTACTTTACCAGGTAAGGCCTGCTCAGCTACATAGCTCTTTTTCAGAAGCGACCTGGCCACAAATGATAGCTCAACGAAGTGGTTTATCACGTGAAAATTTATAGCAGCCAAATACTCTAAATGCACGTTTCTAAACGTGGAGGGAAAAACTGGAGCACCCTGCAAACAATCCACACGAATTATACAGGCATCAGGGTCGTTATTGAACCCACGACCTCCTGTATACCAGGCAAGGTAGTTAACATCTCTTCATCGTGGATCCTACAGCATAGTGTAGCAAGCGTAATGTATAGGCCGCAATGCTCTTCTTGAGGAACTGCCGATATTTTTTTCATAACGCACAAAGGCCGAGTGCTTGCTGCACGTGAAACAAATGTTATCGCTGGACTCTTAAAATCACATCCAGCGACCCTCATGCCCACTTATCAGAGACACAGAGCCAGTTGAACATGGTGGGTGGCTGTCTCCTGCGGAGCTCAGTTATGTGATCAGTAGCTTGTAACCCACAATTGAGCGACAGCCACCAAAGGCCTCGGGAGAGCAATCCCACAACAATTGAAACAAAAAAATAACCGCATAATTAATTGGGCTGAGTGCCAATGCGGTGCAACAGGATCCCCTCGCGAATGATTGGCTTTCACATATGATATGTTGTGGCAGTGGTGGTAGTGGTGGTGGTGGCAGTTGTCGGGGTGGTGGCAGAGTTGGTAGTGGTAGTGATGGCGGTAATGTTGGTAGGTGTGCTGGTGCTGGCGGTGGCAGCCTGCAGTCTGCGAGCGCTAGCAGCTGAGGCTCGCAGCTGGAATCGCTGCAGGACGTCAAAGCACAGCATCGCCATGCCGCTTTGGGCACACGGTTACTATTCTCTACCTTCATTCCCTTCGAGTTGTGCATGGTACGCGCGGGCAGTTCGAGGTGCACTGATGCACGGCATCATAGTAAGCATGCTACTTGGGTAAAGTTGGGTAGTACGTGACGAGTTAAATAAACATCGATGTACGTTGCACTTCTGTTATGGCGAGGAAAGGCAGACCTCGATATTCCAGTTAACTCACCTTTCCCAAGTAGCGTAAGGCTGGACAACAGCATCATGCGCTATCTGGTAAGAGTGTAATGAGGAGTCAGAACACGGGGCTTGGTTTTTATCACCAAAATATAAAATCTCAATTAGGTTACATGGGCTGATCGGCCTGCTTAACCAAAATTTTCCATCAGTATTTGTTAAACCCTTTCCTCACATATTCTTGGGTCTTTCGGTAAAGTCACGTAGATAGGTTAAAAAAAATACCAAGTAGTTTTTTGTTATTTTGTTCTTTTCTTTGAACCTATCTACGTGACTTTACCGAAAGACCCAAGAATATGAATTCCTGCAGTCATGCAAACTTTAAGTCAAAACCTCTCCACACAAATCATCAAAAGCAATAAAATGTGGGTTATTTTATTGTGAGTTTAGAGTTAAGCAGAACCCTCCTCCCCCCAAAGGTATAATTTCACAACAGGCACATATTTCTCAGCATTGCATCACTGGTTCCGAGACCAGTTTGATTTTATGGGTATCACCATCAGGGTGTGTGGTTAGCACACACGGTGAGCAAATAACAAGAGCTGCCGTAGGTCATTTCAAAGGGCCAGCGCTCAGTCTAGCCAGTCACCGCTCAGTCGAGCCGGTCACCACTCAGTCTAGCTGCTCACCATGCAGTCCAATTTGAACCGAGGTTTTCTCTCCTGTCACACGCATGCAGCTTCGGCTCAGAAGCGAATACTGTAGTTTTGACTAAACAAAATATTTAAATGTGGAACTCATGGTTTTCGAGATTCCCACTAGCACCCGGCTGCGCAAGAATCCGTAAGGCTGGGAATGTGAACGCGACGGCGGCGCCGCCATTTCGGCGAGCGCTGAACTGGCGACGGGGAGACGCGCCCCAGGACCAACTGAAACAGCGCTTGCGAACGACGCAAGCCGTGGCCCGGGAATCCGAATCTGGTGGCTGCTGTAGCGGCGGCACGTACCTTGATGTGTTCGTCAGAGCAGTTGCGGAAGAGGACGTTGGGCAGGGCGCAGACTTGCGGCCGCCATGCGTAGTAGATCTCCAGCACGATCTCCGGCAGCCCTAGGGGCCACTTGCAGAGTGCGCGCGTGCACACGGCCTTCAGGTAACGCACCATCAGGTCCAGGAGGCCCCCGTTCATCTGGTTGCTCCGCAGGAATTCCAGGACTTCAACTCGTTCTGAAAAACAAAACAGGCATCACCGACGTTGAACATTTGAACGGCAACAAGAGCCTCAAAGTGGTCATTGTGAAGTGGTGACACTTCTGGCTCGCAGCAAGAAGCGCCCAGGTTTCATTCCCGACTCGGCCGTCTTTTCTGTGTGGTATTTGTATGGTCTCTCTCTCTCTCTCTCCCTGTTCTGGATGGGTCTCCTCCTGGTTTTCCAGTTTCCTTGCGGAGCTAAAAAATTGTTTAATATAGCTGGAACTGGCCAAACATTACAATGCTGAAAAATTACCTGCAAATTATTCAACTGGGATGACACAGAGCAGCAGCAACATCTGGCAGGACCCTCCTGAAAGAGTCTTGAGGCTCAGGGAAGGATTTCCTGGTTCAACAAGCGTAGTCGTTATAATAATGTGACAAAGAGCACATCGAGAACACCAACAGCTAAGACGGCTCCTTGAATGCATGGAAAGAGAGACAACATTTACAGCTGTGATCTATGGGCTCCCTGCCTGTCACCCCGAGTACTGTTGGGGAACCCCTGCATTGGTTGAGCAGCAACTGAAATATGGGGGGAAACCTGATGGGGTCTCCCTGGCACTCATCCCAGGAGCGTGGGGTCTCTGTTTTGTCCCCTCTTTCCATCGTGGACTGTTGCATTCACTCCCCTCTCCTCCGTGCTGTCATCCATCTCTGCTCAGGTCTCCTTTGCGTTTAAATTGTCTACACTTAGTCTTCTCAACGTACTCCTCGCTCCGTCTCTCAATGTGGACGAGACCTCCTCGGTCCGGTTCCTCTCATCCTTGCCTCGACGCCGCCCTCTACCTCCCTCTGACGACTTCATGTCTCCTGCGCTATATTCCTCTCAGTTTCACTATGCACTTCGGCATCTTCACCCTTACTGTGGTAAGCGGTCTCCTTTCTGCTTCATTCTTGGCTGGTCAGCTTTCCCCTCCATGCACCAAAAATTATTTTTATTTGACCAGGGAAGCCCCACTGAGCTACACAGCTCTTTTTCAGAAGCGACCGAGTCACAAACAATAGCCCAACGAAGTGACTTATCATGTGGAAATGTATAGCAGCCAAATACTCTAAATGCATGTTTCTAAATCTGGAGGAAAAAAATCGGGGCACCCTGCGAAAAATCCACACAACCACGGGAAAGAGAGACTCGTAAACTGCAAAAATACAGCAGGCGTCGGGGTCGGAATCGAACCCACAATGTCTGTATACCAGCCGAGGTAGTTAACATCTTGCCACCGCAGCGCCTCGCAACCAGCACGGACGTGGGCTGCAGGGGGTTTATTATTTGTCACTGATTTGTGCTCTTGCCGTGTTGGCGATTTTTTATCACGAGATGCGGTTGTTTTTGTTCCCATTTCTGTTTGCGGAGTTGCCGTGCTTTATCGTTAGTTTTAATTTTGCGATTTTAAGGACCCAGGTCACTTGCAATGAAACTGCATCCTCGTCTCTTGACCTTTCACCTGGTAAAAGTAGCATTTTAAACTTGAATAGGTCTGGTAACAGTGGCCACTGTACAGTAACACAGCACTCTGCTCACGTCTCGCTTTGCGTTTTTAACTTGACCGTTTTGTTGCAGCGTAAACTCGAGACACCACACCTCCTGAGTATGATGTAGCCACTTCCCAGTTAGCTCCTGCACAAATGCTACTGCGCAATATTAGTCTTGAAATCCCACAGGCGGAGAGAGGGATGGAGGTCCATTTATTTATCTCATTACCCATCGTGCTCCACAATGCCGCAGAATGAGAGATTAAGCTCAACGATTAGGGCTACTGAACCCCGCTTGCCAGTGCTCTATTCGTGGAAGCCCCTGGGCGCTTGTAAACCACACAGCTCCGCACCTTCTCAACGAGCTGCACAAACGCTTCTGCAGACTGCACTCCGTGCGCAGGGCGGCGGTGCCCTCTGGTGCACCGCTGGCGTCGCTACAGCCAACCCGGTACCCACGTATCGAGTCACGCTCGGCTCAGGCAGCAGGAAACGATCCAAGGAATTGGGGTCGGATTTGTGCCGAGGATGACGACGCTGACAGCTATGTGTGTATGTATTTTGAACTTCTTTTGCACCATACGTAACCAACTGTGCTAGTTTGAGGTGCGGGGGAAAAACAATAAAACTAAACACAAAAAGCAGTTCTAAAGGAATCAGTTTTTAAGTTAGATTTTAAAATGCATAGCTCCAGTAGCTTCCTGATATCGAAGAGCGTTCCAGACGGACAGCAAGGAGCGATGCCGTTTAAAAAAAAAAAAATCTCCAAAAACGATTGCAGCTGCCCTATAGGAATCAGGTTACAAGTAAAGACGCAATCTGTTTGAAATGTTCTACAATTTCATTATAAACGTATCGTGTAATACGTACGAACGCAGCGACCAGCATGGGATGCACCATCACGTGTACTGGATGTCAGTGTGAAATAGAATATTTATCCTGATCCACACCACAAGATTGGTGATGAGGTCACTAACTCGCTACACCGAGAACCCAATTTCACCACAGGCAGCGGAAACTGGTTTGAACCTAGGATCTCGGTGCTGCCAGCACAGTGGTACTATTCCCATGGGCCACTGCTTCAGCCATAAGCAGGCCTGGCCATGGTAGCGCTGCACCTTCACCGTACCATTCTCTATAAAGGAAACGTCTTCCGCTTTGTTATTTTCATGAGCGGCCCAGTGTGACTTGGGCTCAGCTGCTGGATCCAGGGGAAAGGGAGATGATCCGTGGATATCGCTGGGCTCTTCGCCCTGCTTGAGCCTGGTGTAAGCACGCACGCGCACACACACATGCACGCAAGGGCACATAAGAGCGTAAACACCAAACACACGCACAATGTAAAGGATATTGGCCAAACATCCCAATGCTAAAAATGCCCTGCAAATGCCTCAATTGGGATTGGACACAGCAGCAACATCGCCCCCTAGAGGGAAAATTTGGCGGGACGCTGATGAAAGAGCTCAAGAAATTAGTTTGTCGTCGACCGCTCAGAAACCGCGTTATAACGGTGTGCGTGTTCCGTGTTATAACGGTTCTATTGAAAGAACCACATTATAGTGAAAACGCATTTTGTGAACACCACGCATTGAGCGAGGACTTACTGTAAAATATAGACTACCATGTGCACACAAAGACAAAGATCCCCCGTATAGCCTTAACAGAATATTGTGGCAAATGCAGTTAACGAGCACCTATTAAGGCCAGCACGGCACACGAGGGGGTCGGTGGCCAGCACCATGTCAGGTCGCCTTTGTCTCCCCAGTGCTGATGTTTATACCCCACACCAGGCGAGGCCGAAGACCAGTTCACATAATCGCCACTGATGTTGGTCCGGAGGCAGACGCACACACAGACAGGTGTGCGTGCATGCGCACCGGGATGGCAGGAACTTGGAGAGCAGCTCATGGAAGTCGATCTTCTCTTCCTTCTTGCCGCGCGTGTTCCGAACACGCGCTGAGCGCCGCTTGGCCGTCTCTCCGCCGAGGTCGTCATTGGGCAGACGCCGGCGCTTGTTTCCTCGCCGTACCGCCTCCCCACTCGCACCTAAACGCAGACACGTGGGTCACTCACTACCAGCCACGTCGCACCTCCTCCCTACTCGCACCTACACACAGACACGTGGGCCACTCACTACCAGCCCCACCTCCTCCCCACTCGCACCTACACACAGACACGTGGGCCACTCACTACCAGCCCCACCACACCTCCACCCCACTCGCACCTACACACAGACACGTGGGCCACTCACTACCAGCCACGTCGCACCTCCTCGCCACGTCGCACCTACACACAGACACGTGGGCCACTCACTACCAGCCCCACCACACCTCCTCCCCACTCGCACCTACACACAGACACGTGGGCCACTCACTACCAGCCATGTCGCACCTCCTCCCCACTCGCACCTACACACAGACACGTGGGCCACTCACTACCAGCCCCACCTCCTCCCCACTCGTACCTACACACAGACACGTGGGCCACTCACTACCAGCCACGTCGCACCTCCTCCCCACTCGCACCTACACACAGACACGTGGGCCACTCACTACCAGCCCCACCTCCTCCCCACTCGTACCTACACACAGACACGTGGGCCACTCACTACCAGCCACGTCGCACCTCCTCCCCACTCGCACCTACACACAGACACGTGGGCCACTCACTACCAGCCCCACCTCCTCCCCACTCATACCTACAGACAGACACGTGGGCCACTCACTACCAGCCACGTCGCACCTTCTCCCCACTCGCACCTACACACAGACACGTGGGCCACTCACTACCAGCCCCACCTCCTCCCCACTCGTACCTACACACAGACACGTGGGCCACTCACTACCAGCCACGTCGCACCTTCTCCCCACTCGCACCTACACACAGACACGTGGGCCACTCACTACCAGCCCCACCTCCTCCCCACTCATACCTACACACAGACACGTGGGCCACTCACTACCAGCCACGTCGCACCTTCTCCCCACTCGCACCTACACACAGACACGTGGGCCACTCACTACGAGCCCCACCTCCTCCCCACTCGCACCTACACACAGACACGTGCGCCACTCACTTCTCTAGCCCCAACCCTAACTGTACCGCACCAAGGCTTGTGAGGAGCATCTCTGCCCGGCAGGCAGCATGCCATCTCTAATCCTATCAATTCAACAATTCACATACATTTAAACGTGAGGAATAAAAACCACGCACAAACAAGAATTTTGTCAAGTTTCCCAAAAGGCTTTCGTTGTTGGAAGTATTTAGCTAGCGATAATTAGTGATTAGAGCGATTGGCTACGTATTGTGCGAAATAAGTTTAATATACATACATAATAATGTTCATCACGTAGGCTTTGGCGATCAATATTATCCATAAGAGTTTTTTTTGGTTTAGATCGCGTAAATATAAATGTTGATTTGAAGCTTTCGTGACTGCAGGAAACCATACTCTTTGGTACTTTTAGTAAAGTCACGTAGGTAGAAAATAAAATAAATCACGACGTTTCGGGCGCAACACAAGCGTCCGTCATCAGTTGTGAAAGCTTCGTCTGCTGCTGAGACAGACTGTTTAAAAAGGTTTGAAATGGGTATAGTCCAAGGTTCATAAGAAGTGGCCGGGGCTAGTGATGTTAATGTGAGAAATTAGCATGTAACTGTAAGATCTCATCTGTAAAGGATGTGATTCCTGACATGCCCTGGTGTCTACAAACTGAGTTGTGGTTGTGGCAGCAGTTACATTGTGTCTCTGTGTTGTCTCTCTAATATTTCCTGCAGTTTGGTATCTCTCTCTCTGTGTCTCTGTGTTGTCTCTCTCTCAAAATTTCACACTTAACTTCTAATTTAGCAATCTTTGGAAAAACGTAATCAACCAGGCTATGCATTGATTGTGTGTTGACCGACTCTCTCTGTTGCATTGCATTACATTTCCAAATGGTACTAAGTTTGTTTGACTACGTGTGTTTTCTCTCTCTCTCTGTGTCTTCGTGTTGTTACTCTATTATTTCCTGCAGTCACGAAAGCTCCAAATCTTTTTCTCTACCCCCCTCCCCGCTCTCTGCCCCCCTCTCTCTTTATTTCAGGCCTCGACACAGAGGCGTTGTTTCTCTGTGTGCCTATGTGTGTGTCTCTCTCTGTGTGTCTCTGTATTATCTCTCTGCTTATGTGTCTGTATATGTGTCTCCGTGTCTGTGTTTTGTCTCTCTCTTTCAAATTAAGCCATCTTTGGAAGAATGTAATCAACCAGGTAGTGTTGACTGTTATGTTATATTGCATTAGAAATGCATTATATTTCTAAGTTTAATAACTTTGTTTGCTCTTTCATTTCTATCTGATGATTGCTTGTGTTGCAATCGAAACATTGTATGCTATTATTTAATTATTATTTTCTTTCTACGTGACTTTACCGAAAGAACCAAAGAGTAATTCCTGCAGTCACGAAAGCTCCAAATCACAGTTATATTTGTGCGATCTAACCAAAAAAAAGCTCAATTATGGATACATAACAATGTTTCGAGATGGAAGTGAGTGGCCCATGTGTCATTTGGAGAGGAGGCGAGACAGCGCATGGCCTTTTGACCTCACCATAGTGGCTGATGGGTCATTCCATGTGAACTTGGCCAAACTCCCACCCCAACACTCAGATTTTTCTCACAACCTTGTGTAGCGGTAGATATAAATCAGCCATACACGAGGCCATATTCAAGCTCGGTGATGAATACTAAGAGAAACACCGACCCCCTTTCACACCTCCGATTAGCGCAGTTGGCTACGTATGGTGCGAAAGAAGTTCAACGTACACACAGCAGTAGGGGGATGAGGGTATTGAGAATGCGGCCATAGCCCGCTGAACACGACCATACACATTTCTGAGCAAACATTACATAATTTCGCGCTCGTTCCTTCTAAAGTAGGTGAGAATGACCACTTTCAAGTTGCTTCTGCCTGTTCTGGATGTCATTGCCTTTCCATAGACACGTCACCACGATGAACGCGCTCTCGTGGAGCCACGCTAACGGCGTTCCCGTGGAGTGCCGCACGCACTGCCGGGACGCACCTTTGAAGGACGGCTGCGTTGAGGCGCCGCTGCTGGTGTGCGCGGCGGCGGTGGCGGCGGCAGCGGCAGCGGCGGCGAGGTGAGCGGAGCGCGCGTGAGCCGTGATGGCGTACGTGTGCCCCCCGGCCGGGACGGCAGCGATGCCCTGGCTGGGTGACGTGGCGCCGTGGTGGGGTCGTGGCTGGGAGGCCGAAGAGGAGCTCTGCGGGCGCACGGCACAGGAGTGGAGTCGCCAGGGTTCCCACTTCAGAATCGCCCGGAACAGCTGCCACCATCATCATCATCTTGGTTTCTTGGTATACTAGGAGGTTGAGGGTTCGAGCCCAACCCTGACGCTTGTATATATGAACCTCATGGCGGTACCCCAGGGTACCATAGTACCCCGGCCCTCGCATAATGTCCGTGATGCAGTCACTTTTAGTCTGTTGATGGTTGGCGATGCGGCAATCAACTCATCTCGAAGAGCTGTACACGATGCACAACTACGGTGCGTACGAGCATTCAGGGTTTCAGCGCAATCGTCCTCGCTGCGTTTCAACATCGCGGAGTGGCACCGATTTCGGTTTGATTGGTACCCCAGTCGCGGAGTTAAGTACACCCCTGGAAAAAATAGTGTCCCAGAAAGAAAATATATAATTGCCTCGGTCATTTTGTATTATTTGGTAACCCGGGGTACCACCATAAGGATCATATCGAGTGTACATCTCTCTCTCCCCGTGGTCGCGTGGATTTTTCTCCGGGTCCTCCGGTTTTTCCCTCCACATTTAGAATCGACATGTGTATACAGTATTTTGCTCATAGAAATTTCCACATAAGCCACTTCGTTGAGCTATCATTTGTGACCAGGTCGCTTCTGAAAAAGAGCTATGTAGCCGAGTAGGCCTTACCTGGCAAAATAAAAAATATTGTTTGGTTGTATAGTTTAGTAGAACACAGGGCAAAGTGTGCCAGTTACCTTCTGCCCAATTGGTCAAACATCCCAACGTGCAAATGCTACGATACTCACAGCTATGCCTCCCAATTAACACATGCCCCACAGTCAGTCCACCACAGCCTACACGCACAGGATCAGTTGTGCCCCTCACTCACCGTACTGCGCAGCCCACAGCTGCCCACAGTCGACGATCCCTCACAAGGTGGACTCGCGTGGCCAAGACGCGGTACGAGGCGGCCGTCACGATTACGTGACGAGGGTGGTGCGTACCTCGCTCAGGGAGACGCCCCCTCCCCACCCCCCCATGAGTGCCCGTGAGAGTGGCGTGCGCCGAGTTTGTGCGTCGGGGCCGGCGCGGCTCCTACCTGCGGCGTGGCGGCGACGGCCTCTGTGGACGACACGTCACTGCTGCCCACATCGTTGTCGTCGCCCGCCGAACTCAATCTCGTGGGAACCACGGGTTCCGTGGGTCCCGTGGGCTCCGTAGGCCCTGTGGGTCCCGTGGGCTCCGTGGGCCCTGTAGATCCCATGGTCCCCATGGTCCCTATGAGCCCAGCGGGTCCCGTGGGTCCCGCAGTCCCCGCGACCCCAGTGGACCCCGTGGGTTCCGTGGTTCCCGTGGGCCCGGCGGTCTCCATGGGCTCAGCGGACCCGGTCGGTCCCATGGATCCCATGGGCCCCGTGATCCCTGTGGGTCCAGATGACTCCGTGGGTCCCATGGTTCCCATGGACCCCATGGGTGCCATAGTCTCTGTGAGCCCAGCAGTCCACGTGAGCCCAGCGGGCCCCGTGGCCCCCATTGTTTCCTGTGGCCCCCGTGGGCCCCGTGGTCCATGCCAGGCCCCACTCGGCCACAACTGCGTCCAGGACAAGCTCAGAGTCGCTGGATGGGTGCCCAGGGGGTGGCGCCACCAACGCCGCTACTGCTGCCCCCACAACCGCCGCCACCGGGGACTCGGCCCGGTGAGAACCCTGGGCCTGGCTCGCTGTGCTGGTGTCCTGAGGTGTGGGCACAGGCGTGGCCTGGACGACCCCGGCAAGAGGAGCGTCGGGAGAAACAGTAGCGGGGGAGGAGGCGGCGGTAGTGGCGGAGGAGGTGGAGTTGGAGGAGGATGTTCCCTTGGGTGCTGTCGCGAGCAGCTCCTTGCTGACATAGGCCGAGAGGTCGACGTGGAGGCCCAGGCTGGGACACGGCAGCTCCTGTACCGTGAAGTCCTTGAACGTCTCCAGGAGGCAAACGCCCAGACTCTTCCAGCTGCAGGAAACATGGGGCCACTCGTGTCAACTATACGATAAGACCGCTCACTCATGTCGCCGCTCTTCAACGAAGCGCGGAGCAGCAGGATAGGCACTGCTGTGAGGGCAGCGAGTGCCGAGTTAAGAGGACGCGCAGTGTTCCTCCTTGCATGCAAGCCGTAACCATCAACCGTATTAATTTTATATGTAATATCACCTCCACTCAAGGGGACATCAAAACATTGTACACTAAAATTTGAGGCTGGCGGGCATTCACTGCTCGTTGCACAGGTTTGCGGGTCGAATCCAGCAGACCACCCTGGTTATTACTGCGAGTGTACGAACCGTACAAATATGTGCTGTCCACTTCATGGCGGATGGTAAAGACCACGCAACACCATTTGAAAAGAGGAGGCCATTGTGTTTCGTCATGCCAACTTTGAATCAACTGCAATTTTCTCAATTGGAATTACACTTGGCTATTGTCACCGAACGCTACTTAAACACGAGAACACACCACTCCTCAGTTGTATGTGTATTATGTTAATAGGTGTGGGAGGACAACAAACTAAACAGAAAAAGCAGTTATGAAGAAACGATGTTTTACGTCTGAAGAAGTAACCACTGGTAGGACACCCCTAGACACACCAACCAGTCACAGTCATAGCCATGGTGGAGTGGTGGGGGGACTCTGTCTCTGCTAGCCGGGTATGGCAGTATTGTAAGTGGGTTTATTTCCATCGGTATACCACCTTACATGCGTAAGTTTTTCTCTGAGCACTCCGATTTACCCCCACGTATATAAACACTCACTCATGGGGCCAAACATTCTATTGCAGGGTGCCGGTTTTGTTTGCCTTACCGCTCTCATCTGTGGTTTCCCGCGCCTCTGAATCATTCGCTCTCTTTCTGAGAGTGAATGTAGACTGTGCGGCGACGAGTTACGATGTTGTTGTGTGTGTGTACGTGTGTGGGCAGCGGTAGTGTTGCGATTAGCACGCTGCGCTACGAACCTGGCGACCTGAGTTCGATTGCCAGTCATGGCCAACACGATTATCTTAATCAGTCCTGGGCCTCCCCTAGGTCGACTCAGCCTCAAATGAGTACCTGGTACGATGCATAAAAATCGCTAATGGGGAGACAAAGGCGGCCGGGCATGGTGTTGGCCACCCACCCCCTTGTGTGCCGTGCCGGCCTTTATAGGTGCTCGCTAACAGCACTTGCCCCATTAAGGCTATACGGGGGGATCTTTGTCCTTGTACGTGTGTGTACATGTGTGTGGGGAGCGGTGGCACAGTGATTAGCGTGCTGCACTACAAACCAGCGACCTGAGTTTGATTTCAGTCACGGCCAACACGATTATCTGAACTGGTCGTGGGCCTCTCATAGTTCGACTGAGCCTCAAATAAATACCTGATGCAGTGTGTAAACATCGCCACGAGGGAGACAAAAGCGGCCGGGTGAGGTGCTGGCCACCCACCACCTCGTGTCCCCTTCCGGTCATCATTGGTGCTCGCTAACAGCCCTTGCCCCAACAGTCTGTTAAAGTCGAAACGAGGGATCTTTGTGACGCACGTGAATTCACGCAGCGGGTACGCCAGGGTGGGCTCCTCCTCGGCCTCCTGAGGCTCCCAGAAGGTGCGGCGCTTCTCCCTCAGTTCCAATGCCTCGTCAATAAACGCCTTGGCCTCCTCCTCGCTCACTCGCGCCGAGTGTATGCGGGGGTCACTACACACGCACAAACGCACAATCGCACACCATCACACAGCGCACGCAATGACAAGCACACAGCACAGGCATTATCACACATAGCTCACACGATAAAAAAAATAATACACGGCGCACACAGACAGCGCCAACAATCACATGGTACAGATAATTATCATACGGTACTGATAATCACACATCCACCCACATCAAACCACACCAACTCGGGCTGTCGAGCAACGACTACGATTAATTCTACGTCTCATCGACCCGTGTTTCCTGATCTCTAAGAACAAACGGACCTCTCCTGGACTAACTTTGTAGGCCTCACGCAAGGCATTGTTGTTAAGCAGGCAGTGGTGGCGAAGCAGGGAGGTGGAAACCGGCAATGAGCATGTTGAGCCGAGTCGCGCTGTACGCCGCGGGGCGGTTCACAAGGCTCGGCGGTAGGGCATTCACTGCTCGTTGTTCAGATATGCGGTTCGAATCCAGCGGGCCATCCAGGTTTTTGCAGGTGTACAAACTGTATAAATACGTGCAGTCCGCTTCATGGCGGACGTTAAAGACCTCGCGACATCATTGGAGAAAGAGTAGGCCATTGTGTTTCATCACGGTGCACATTTGCCAAGTTCGAATCGACTGCAAATTACTCAATTAGGATCACACAAAGCAAACACAGCTCCCTACTACTGGTAGCCTGGCCTCTTGAGTTCTCGCCTGGTAAAACAAGTATAAATTCGAAACTCAACTTGTCACCACCGGTTAATTGGGATTAGACGTAGCAACGTCGCCCTCTACTGTGAAACCACTGCAGACTGCTTCCGTGAAACCCAACGGCGCCTTCCTTCGCGATAGCCTCGCACAAAAAAAATTACGCAAATACGAAATGTCCTAAAATTATTATCGTGAGCGCGTTCCGAAGTCCAGCTGGGTGCAGTTCGAGGAACAAGGAGGATAAATGTCCCCTCTTGCAATGAGGTCCGAGACACGGACACTCGGCTCCAGAGGCAGAACTGAGCCTCAGCTGCCAAGAGCTGTGAAAGAGCGGTAGGGGAAGAAGAGGGGACCGAGCGACCGTGAGCGCACAGCGTGGTTCACCAGCCCACGACTTGCATCCTGGTACTCGCTCGCCACGTTACGGCGCTGCTAAACCGTGGTGTATATACACACACATACCTGTGTATATACACACACATGCAGGTGTGTGAGCTGGAGCACACACAGCAGGGTGCATTACCACTTGGAGAACATAGAGAAGGAGTCATATTTGAGGCTTGGCTGCTCTTGGAAGATCTTTGCCATCAGCACAAGCCCCTTGCCATAGCCGGGGTCCTTCTGTAGCGCTTGGTAGATGTAGTACAGGCAACCTGAATGTGTGTGTGTTACAAAATGAAAAATACAAATATGACACTGTAGACCAGTGATGTATGTACGTTGGACATATGTCGCATCGTACTTAGCCAACCATGCTAATTGGAGGCGAGGGGCAACCCAGACAAGTCCGTGGGCAACGAGAGCGGTCCCCCACACCTCGGTGGGCCACAAGCTTGACATCGTGCTTTCGCACTAACCATGACCCAACACATCACCCTACAGACACACTGAGACCAGGCCACCACGAGGAGCTCCACGGGACGCATGCAGCCAGCGGGCCTCATGTTGCCCATCGCTGCTGTAGACCATCAGCCGATTGGCCTTCTGAACCAATGATTTTGCAGCATGATTTTTCTTTAAGCAACCAAAACCTCGGCGCTGTTTCTACTTATCAGGTCTCATCAGCAGAGTATAGCCTCTTATACAACAATCGCTCCTGCGTTGTTGGCACCATTGTGAACAATGTATTCTGTGCAGTCTAGGAATATCGTGGGTGGTAATGAGTGAAACGTCGGAGCAGAATGTGCTACTGAAACGGAATGTTTCTGTGAGTGGAATCTGCCATTACGCTTCCAGTACTGCATGTGCGGAAGGCTGTGAGGTGTGCGTGTAGTCCGCGTACTGGAGTGGCGAGTGCTGGTGCGGTGAGAGTTGGTGCGGTGGGTTCTGGTGCAGTGTGCATGCTGATGCAATGAGTGCTGGTGCGGCACGAGTGCTGGTGCAGTTTACATGCTGGCGCAGTGAGTGGCGGTGCTAGTGCGGTGCATGTGCTGGTGCAATGTGCGTTCTGAAGCAGTGAGTGCTGGTACGTGCGTGTTGGTGTGGTGCACGCGCTAGTGCGGTGTACAGTCTGGCACAGTGAGTGGCGGTGCTAGGGCAGTTAGCGGCGGTTCTGGTGCAGTGAGTAGTGGTGCTAGTGCGGTGCGCGCTGGTGCGTTGCGGCCACCCACAGCCGTAGTCCCCGAGTGCATAAAGTACGGTGATGAGGCGGTCGAGGCAGGGCCAGTGCGCGGGGCTGCAGCGCAGGCCCTCCTCGAAGGCGTGCCGTGCCAACGGCATCCGCAGCAGCCGCACCGCCACACTGCCCATCCTGAACCACAGCGTCACGTCCGAAGCGTCTAGTAGCACGGCCTGAACAAGGTGACAGCACGGAGTGAACACGGCAACAAAGCAGCCTGAACACGGCGACAGTACAGGCTGAACTCGGCACAACAGCCGACTAAATTTCTTCATTTGTGTGGTGGATGTCTTCCCTGGGTGCTTTCCTCTGACCGCCACTCAGTAATAATTAAAAAACAAAAATCCCCCTTTAAGCCTGAACAGACTGTTGGGGCAAGTGCTGTTAGGGAGCACCTATTAAAGCCGGCAAAGCACACAATGGGATGGGTGGCCAGCACCATACTCGGCCGCCTTTGTCTCCCTAGTGGCGATGTTTATGCACTGCACGGGGTCCTCATTTGAGGATCGGTTTAAATATTTGCCACTGCAATTGGTCGTGAGCGGGAATCTAATTTGGGTCGCCGCGTTTATAACGCAGCGCACTAACCTTTATTCACACACACACAGCTCATCGCCCCTTATAGGGACGTGTTCTACCTAAGCCCTCTTACGCTTCTTAACAGTCAAAACAATGCATTAAACCTGTGTGTTCTCTAATCCACGCACTCCTCTTTCTGTCTCTCATTGTAATCCCCTGCATGCATCTGTCCGTGCTTCTTTGTACATTTTTTAGTTTTTGTTCCATGATCTGTCAGCGTCCATGTTTCTGATCTACGAGTCATCGCGGGTACTACGCATGGATTCAACACTTTCCTCCTCGCATACTGGAATTTGCTTGTCGCAATCAAGTTCCGTTTTCGGCGAAAAATTAAGCGAGAGTATCCAAGGCTGGTTTGTGCGAGTGCACAGGTATCGCAAACGGTCTTCGTGTGCGTGTACTGTGCGTTGTGCAGGAGTCGCACCTCCAGGTAAAAATCCAGAGCGGTCTGCAGGTTCCCCGACTGGGCCGAGAGGCTCGCCAGGTTCTTGTACGCGGAATACTTGAGCATGAACCCGGTGCCTTTGAGCACCCCTTCCTGCTGCTCATCGTCGTTGGGAACCGCCTGCACAAAACAGCGAGCAACAACGAGCAGTTCACCACAAGCACACCGTTCCACATTCTCCCGAGGTTGTATAATACTCACCGTGTGCTACTGTGGATGTAGATGAGAACATCAATAGACATGGGGGGGATGGAGGGGGGGGGGGTGTCTCGTTAGGCAAAATAAAATATCGTAGCTTCTTAGTCCGTCAGCCGATGGCGCCTTTCGGACCAACATTTCCAGAGGCAAGCCATGGACCATGGACCAACTTTGACTCTCCGAGTTCAAACCATGAATTCATACCCAGGATTCTCGGCAGTGCCGGCCCGGTGCTCTGACACTTTAAAACACCAAAGCAATTTTTCCAGCTCAAGTGAGCATTGAGGCATTGGTGCCATCTCCTGTTTACAGACCTGCTGAGCCAGTGGTGGAAAGTCCGCATGATGGGCCAAGGCACAACTCCCCGACCAGGAGTTGAAACTCACAACCTTTACGATGGCGAGCCGCTCGCTCCACCCTCACCTCAACTCCCCTTGCGCGGCAGCCGCCTCGCGTTACCTCTTTCAGCAGAGGGGTGCGGAGGAGCTTGTGATAAACTTCCGTGGCTTCCGCGACTCGGTCGTGCTTCTGAAGTTCCAGAGCTTTGTTGTAAACTGCAAACGCTTCTGCCTCCTGCAAAGAGGAACACTCAGGTGACGTTTGCGCACACACACACACAACCTCGGTCAATTCCAGACTTACTGTGCTGTGTTCAAGCATCACACTGCAGGTCACAATAACACACTCATTCCCTCATTCCCCCATTAAATCATTCACTCACACACTCAGCCACTCACTCATGGTGGAATAAGTCAATTGTGAGTATAACGTCTTAATCCGTCAAGGCGCACACTAGTAATATGTTTGCTGTGTGCGGTGTGTATGCTGTGTGGATGTGGTGCATACATTGTGTTTTGTGTGTGTATCTAGTCTGTGTATGGAGTGGGTATGCTGTGTATAGTGTATGTGCTGTATGTGGTGTGTGCATATGCTGCTTTAGTGTGTTTTTGTCCTTCCCCCGCACCTCCGCTAAGCACGTTGGCAAAATCAATTCAATATACAAACATGTATGCTGTGCATAATAGAGATTTTTTTGGGTTAGATCGCGTAAATATATAAATTTGTCATTAAAACCCGCCACCACCCGACACAGCCAACTAGTAAGGGTTGTCACGTAAACAGAGTATTCCTACGAGGTCATCTTCAGGAAAGGTGCACGGCACGGTAAAGCGAATGCCTTGTCGTGCCTTCCGCCAGGCGCCAGGTGTGCCTGTACAGAGGGCGCCAGTCGCTGTAGGCCTGCGGTTGTGGGTACGCCTCAATTGGTGGCAACTGCTAGACCGCGGCAAGGTAAGGTAAAAACAACGAGCCTACCTTTACACTACATTTTACTTTACCACGATACAATCACTCTACCCTTACCTTTTACCCTTTAGCAAGGTCAGGTAACAGGTAAAAGTTCAAAAGCAACAAGCCTACCTTTACTCTATCTTTTACCCTTACCCCGTACAAATTACCCGATTACTGGGATACTACACATGAAAAAGATTTCCACCCTGACGCCGACGTCCCGACCTCGCTGCCTGGGGCGAGCACGTTGTGCTTGAGGTGGGCTTTCCACCCCGACGTGAGGAAAACCACTTGCGGAGTGTACACACTGCCGCTTTCCTTGCTGCACATGGGAATCACCCTGCATCCAATCGTGCATGTGCTCCCACGGGAACGCACGCCGCTACCTCTTTCGATTGCTGTTCGCAGCGACCCCGAAAATGCCGTTGCTGGCATCCTCGACCTCATCCTCTACCTCAAGAACATGGTCCGTCTCCAACTGGTCTGACATCAATGATTCCAATTTTAAATGGAGGCCACAGACTCCACCACAGAGCTTTTAGCGAGCAGTAAACAAGGTATTTACCGGGTAATACTTCGCGCTACCTTTACCCTACCGGGTAATTCTTCCACGCTACCTTTACCCTACCTTTTGCCTTACCCCTTGGCATGGTCAACACCTTTACCCTTTTACCCGGTAAAAAGGGTAAATTACCTTACCTTGCCGAGGCCTAGCAACTGCCACGGTGGCTCCATCATGTTACCTGGGGATTACGGTCCCGGTTGCTGATGGAGGATGCCTCGCTATTGTGATTGCGACGCCGCGTCATGCCGGTCGATCACATTGCCACACCAGCGAGGTCCCCGGCCATAGCTCTTCATGATGGCCTCCTCATGCGGTTGAAATGCTAAGGTATTGTGTGGTGGTGCCTATGGTCCTCCGAGGGAAGCTTGCCCGTGAAATTCATGAAAAGGTGATGCACCTGGGAGCTCGAAAGATGTTGCTAACAATTAAACGTAACTATTACTGGCCGGGTATAGAGGAGGATGTGGAACTTCTCGTCAAGGGTTGTCATGACTGCGCTCGCTGTAAGCAGCCGACCCGGCATGATCGACCCCCACTGCAATCTATCACGGCATCACGTGTCAAGGAACTGGTGGCACTTGATATCCTGGGGCCGTTTCCAGTTTCGCAAAGGAGCCACAAATATCTTTAAGGGAGACCACGTGAGGGACACGTGGTCGTCGTGGGGAGCCAGGAAGAGGTCTCTCTCCTCGTCGCGGGGCGATGTTGGCTGATCCCCCGCCCCGGGCAGACGGGTGAGAGAGCCTAGGGGAGGCCGAAGAGATCCCAACGTATATAGTATCCCCGAGGGAGCCTAGGGGTAGTCGAAGTAGTCTCGACGTATATAGTTATCCCAGGTCCAAGTGAAGGATGGATAATAGAGTGCACCTACACTGGTGTGAGTGTAGGAGGCAGTGTGAGAACATGTATTAATAAACGGATACCAGCCCTTATGGGCTTCCTCGTCTCTGCGTGGTTGGACTGCACTACATATATGCTAAGTGTATGTTGTGTGTATGGTGTGTGCTGTGTCTAATATGTGCTGTGTGTAGTGTATGTGCTGTGTGTATGCTGTGAACGGTGCATGCTGTGTATGGTGCATGCTGTATGTATGCTCTGTAGCATATATGCTGCGTATATTGTGTATGCTCTAAGTGCTGTGTATAGGGTGTGTAGTGTGTATGTTGTGTATGTAGCATGTGTGCTGTGTGAGCTGTAGTGTGTATGCTGTTTTGTGTGCAGTATGGTGCATGCTGTATGGCGTGTACTGTATGGTGAGTGCTATATGGTTAGTATGCTGTGTGTGCTGCATTGTTAGTATGCTGTGTGTGCTGCATTGTTAGTATGCTGTGTGTGCTGTATGCTTAGTATGCTGTGTGAATGTGCTGTATGGTTAGTCTGCTGTGTGTATGTGTTGTATGGTTAGTATGCTGTTTGTGTGATGTATGGTTACTGTGCTGTGTGTGCTGTATGGTTAGTATGCTGTATGCATGCTGCATGGTGCTGTGTGCTGTGTGTGTGTAGTGTGAGCTGTATGGTCTGTATGGCCGTGAGTGTGTGCTGCATGGTGTTTGTGTGTTGTGTGTGCGCTATATGGTCTGTATGCTGTGTGTGTGCTGTGGGTGCTGCATGGTGTGTGTGTGCTGCATGGTTCGTATGCTGTGTGTGCTATGTGTCTGTGCTGTGTGTGCTGCATGGTGTGTGTGCTGCATGGTGTGTGTGTGTGCTGCATGGTGTGTGTGTGCTGCATGGTGTGTGTGTGTATGTGTGCTGCATGGTGTGTGTGTGTGCTGCATGGTGTTAGTGTGTGTACTGCATGCTGTGTGTGTGTGTGCTACATGCTGTGTCTGTGTGTGTGCTGCATGCTGTGTGTGTGTGTGCTACATGCTGTGTGTGTGTGCTACATGCTGTGTGTGCTACATGCTGCATGGTGTGTGTGTGTGTGCTGCATGGTGTGTGTGTGTGCTGCATGGTGTGTGTGTGTGCTGCACGGTGGATGTGTGTGTGCTGCATGGTGTGTGTGTGCTGCATGGTGTCTGTGTGTGCATGGTGTGTGTGTGCCGCATGGTGTGTGTGTGTGCTGCATGGGGTGTGTGTGCTGCATGCTGTGTGTGTGCTGCGTGCTGTGTGTGTGTGTGCATGGTGTGTGTGTGCTGCATGGTGTGTGTGTGCGCTGCATGGTGTGTGCTGTGTGTGCTGCATGGTGTGTGCTGTGTGTGCTGCATGGTGTGTGTGCGTGCTGCATGGTGTGTGTGTGCTGCTTGGTGTGTGTGTGCTGCATGGTGTGTGTGTGCTGCGTGGTGTGTGTGTGCTGCATGGTGTGTGTGTGCTGCATGGTGTGTGCTGTGTGTGCTGCATAGTGTGTGCTGTATGGTGTGTGTGTGTGCTGTGTGTGTGTGTGCTGCATGGTGTGTGTGTGCTGCATGGTGTGTGCTGTGTGTGCTGCATAGTGTGTGCTGTGTGTGCTGCATTGTGTGTGTGTGTGCTGCATGGTGTGTGTGTGCTGCATGGTGTGTGTGTGCTGCGTGGTGTGTGTGTGCTGCATGGTGTGTGTGTGTGTGTGTGCTGCATGGTGTGTGCTGTGTGTGCTGCATGGTGTGTGCTGTGTGTGCTGCATGGTGTGTGTGTGTGCTGCATGGTGTGTGTGTGTGTGTGCTGCATGGTGTGTGCTGTGTGTGCTGCATGGTGTGTGTGTGTGTGCTGCATGGTGTGTGTGTGCTGCGTGGTGTGTATGTGCTGCATGGTGTGTGTGTGCTGTGTGTGTGCTGCATGGTGTGTGTGTGTGTGTGCTGCATGGTGTGTGTGTGCTGCATGGTGCGTGTGTGCTGCATGGTGTGTGTGTGCTGCATGGTGTGTGTGCTGCGTGGTGTGTGTGTATGCTGCATGGTGTGTGTGCTGCATGGTGTGTGTGTGTGCTGTGTGTGTGTGCTGTGTGCGTGCTGCATGGTGTGTGTGTGTGCTGCATGGTGTGTGTGCTGCATGGTGTGTGTGTGCTGCATGGTGTGTGTGTGCTGCATGGTGCTGCATAGTGTGTGTGCTACATGGTGTGTGTGTGCTGTGTGTGTATGCTGCATACTGTGTGTGTGCTGCATGGTGTGTGTGCTACATGGTGTGTGTGTGTGCTGCATGGTGTGTGTGTGTGCTGCATGGTGTGTGTGTGCTGCATGGTGTGTGTGTGCTGCATGCTGTGTGTGTGCTGAATGCTGTGTGTGTGTGCTGCATGCTGTGTGTGTGTGTGCTTCATGGTGTGTGTGTGCTGCATGGTGTGTGTGTGTGCTGCATGGTGTGTGTGTGTGCTGCATGGTGTGTGTGTGCTGCATGGTGCTGCATGGTGTGTGTGCTACATGGTGTATATGTGTGCTGTGTGTGTGCTGCATGCTGTGTGTGTGCTGCATGGTGTGTGTGTGCTGCATGCTGTGTGTGTGCTGCATGGTGTGTGTGTGTGTGTGCTACATGGTGTGTGTGTGTGCTGCATGCTGTGTGTGTGCTGCATGGTGTGTGTGTGCTGCATGCTGTGTGTGTGTGTGCTACATGGTGTGTGTGTGCTACATGGTGTGTGTGTGTGCTGCATGGTGTGTGTGCTACATGGTGTGTGTGTGTGCTACATAGTGTGTGTGTGTGCTACATGGTGTGTGTGTGTTCGCGCTACATGGTGTGTGTGTGCTACATGGTGTGTGTGTGTGCTGCATGGTGCTGCATGGTGTGCGTGCTGCATGGTGTGCGTGCTACATGGTGTATG